ATTGACCATGGTATACCATGGTATATCATGATCGTTAAATGGCACCATTGCATTTCATGGTCGGGAGCGCTTTTTTAACATGGAGTTTCCCATTGAAAAAATACTGCCGTTTCACAGTATTTCATGGTCAGAAACCATCAAATGCAATGATAACATGGTCAAGAAACCATCAAATGCAATGATATCATGGTCGAGAACTTGACCATGATATCATTGCATTTGATGGTTTCTGACCACGAAATACTGCGAAACGGCAGTATTTTTTCAATGGAAAACTCCATGTTAAAAACACGCTGTTAACCATGAAATGTAATGGTGCCATTTAACGATCATGATCGGCCATGGTAATACCATGGTATTTCATTGCATTTCATGGCCATATACCATGGTATACCATGGCCATACCATGGTATACCATGGTATGGCCATGGTCCATTTCAACATGGTAAAGGTTAAGGGATTAAAAAACCAGCCATGGTTTCCCCCCATGACTCAAATGTTATGAATTATTGTGTTTTATGGACTGCAAGGTAACTATAATTGATAATTGTTGACACTTTTATGGACTAGAAACTGGCATTTGTATTTTATTCATTCTCGTGAATTGTAGAGGAAGTGTAATTAGACCATATTTCTGGATATTAGGGGTTTGTTCTCCCTGGGACTCGTTTTGCAGTGTTTTTGTAATGTTCCACTTTTAGGATTTCTGCCACATATTTATTTCTTTTGATTTGCCTCTCACTATATTTATTATTTCCATGGAATTTTAAACCTCTTAACCTCAGTAATCCAGATTAATATAGGCATTTAATGCATTTTGACAACTCAAATACGTACAATCTTGTTTTCATTTGTATTTAAAAGTCTACCCAATTGTAGGACTTTTAGGTAACATTTATTAAAGTGTTAATATTATGATAATGTGACTAATGTTATGACCGTATTAACAACCAGGAGGATCTACTTGCCTCAGAATAGTTCTACAGCACCTTTCAAGTAATATTTGGATGCAGAAACACCCTTGATAAAGACCAAACATAATCAGTAACAAGCTCTGAAACAGTTCGACAGACAGAAAGATGGGAGAATGTCAATACATTTATATTCCAAACTTCTTTTTTTTATAAAACAACAGGATTAAGTATAAGTATTAAGCAATATCCATCAGAGTACAAAACAGACTAGACATTACCACATAGGTACAATCTATCAAAAATATGTTTATCAATACATATGTGAAACTATAGCCTTAATGTGACATGACATTAGAAGATTGGGTTCCCCATACAAAATTTGTCTATATTGTATTAAAACCAGGTTGCAATGCCAGAGCAGATATTAGGTACAAATGGCTAATTATTCAAACCGTAATGATACATTGGGCACATTCTCTGAGGTATTCTAATCAAATTTTGAGCTAACATCAACTCCGAACCTGATCATGTTATTTCAACCAATGGCACAAAACAATGTAGTAGAAGATACTGATGGTTATTCTGGGTTGTAATTTGGCAATGAGATAAAAAAAATATTCATGAAACAGTTGTTTCATTTTAAACAGTTATTATCGCTAAAAAATGTATTGGCTTGCAATAAAATCAAAAATACATATTTTCCTCTTGGCTGATCAAATTAAGGTAGGACTGGAATGACAAGTTTTAACATGTTTGCAAATAACTTTAATTAGACTATCCATTCTATTTGGCCTACCTTAATAAAAATTACTATTGTTATATGTATATTTCCATACATGGCAATATGATATTGTAAGTAATAATATTGTCCTTTTGTAGCAATATCAAATTGAATTCACAACTAGAACAAAGAAGTGGTATATGAAATTAGATATATGTCACAGTATGATAGTTTTATATAGAAAAGGGCAACAGGTCAAAAATAATATTTAGTTGATTAATTTTAGATGGTTCAGATTTTTTTGGCAAGTATTTGATAATAATTCATCCATGCTTTGCCATTATTGAACATCTGGTTTTTTATTTTATATTTCATATAATTTTTAGAGCTGTTACTGAACATAATTTTCTTCAGACGTTTGGTTCAGAAACATTATTCTGAATGGAACAATTACAGTCTGGTTTGAGAACACAAAGTATTCACATATTTGTGGTTGAACATCTTATTTTAAAGAAAGGCCAATACCTGGTTGAGCCCTTCAAGAAGTATGGTCTGCTTTCACAAGCATTTAGAAATCAGAATAATAATGAGTTTAACTTGTCCTTTAGTGATCATGCTTAGGTAACAATGCATGGGCATTTAGATGTCTCATAGAAGACAAAATTGTTTGAACCATTTTGAATACAGCACATAATATAAGAGACCCTACTTTATTTTGGATCATTTGTTGTTTCATCAGCAAATATGTGTTATCATGTATGCTGATGCTTTCTGCCATCATATTTAAACCAACCCCAAAAATATATGCTTAACCACTAAATGGTTGGATTTCTCTATATGTGATTATAGTCAATTACAATAAGGCAATAAAAACTGTTGAATTATACATTCTGAACTTACTCGTTGGTTTATTAATGAAATGAAATTGGTCAAAAATAGTAGAGCATATGCCATGAATTATTCTCTTTGATACATTCAGGAGACAGGCAGAACAAGGATGAAACCAATCAACTATGCCTCATCCACTTCACTACCCTTCATTAGAGCTTGGCTCCATATGTACTCTTAAAATAAGATATAAATTCTTTAATCAAGCCTATATAATTTGAAGATGGAAAATCATAACAATACATTTTTTGTCTAACATTTTATTCCCTCCTAGACCACAGTTGAGATAATTTAGACCTTTAATATCAATACTTTTACATGTAGAGCTATGTACAATGATTGTCACAGGGTGGTGGGGATAGTCAATGTGGATATATGGCACTAATTTTCAATAGGAATAACAATATATGTGCAGATAGATACAACTTCAAATGGTTTTTATCTACTATTCTAGCACATTATACTTAGAGAAAGCAGTATAATGTGATGATATGACCAGGTGATGTCTGGGTCAATCAGAAAAAAGGTTCATGCTTTGGGTTAATCTTTATTTTCATCCTACTTTAATCAAAAAATTACAGTGTACATGTATATTGAAAAGAGCCTCTTCTTGAGCCAGTTTCTATATGGCACCAGGTATTGACAACAAGATCATTTAATTCAACCAATAAGAGAAAAATCTATCTGCTTGAGTTGTTGCTTCTACGACTATGACCATGTAAAAGAGGGTTCACGTCCTTAGTTTGGCTATTATTTATATTTGTTATGGTCAGTATTCTACATAAACATTTATCACAATCTTCATAGTATATCAGCATCAGGTGATTTAGCAAAAGTTTAGTAAAAGAGAGACATTCATATATGTACCCAGGTCCCAAGCATGCATTATCACTTTCTCATCAATAAGAACAAGGCAAAGTCATGCTATTATAGAACCAAGCATGGTGAAAACTATTATGAGAAAAATCATCACTTCGTGTTAAACAATTATAAATATAAATTGAAGAAGGCACTAACATGCAAAAAGTCACCACCATTTCACAGACACCAACTGTCAATTGCCTACCTCCGTCACAAAAAACAGGGACTATAACAATATGCCACCACTTTTTGGTGGTGACATAAAAATGTAAAAGCTAAGCTTATTCAAGAGCTAAAGTTTCCTTCCTTTGATTCTTTTTTTGAATTAGAGAGGTTTGGTGTAAAACGTCCATATATAAAGCTACAATTACATCTTTATTATCAATACTAAATAATCTATGTACTTATCTTAAAGGTAGAAATAAAACATTAATATAAACATATAAAATAATACACAGTAATAGTTAGGGTATGTAGTATATAACCGATTAAGGATAATAAGGGAGATGGATACATTTAGGATCTCAATCCTCAATATATTAAGAAGCTGATGTTTTGGAATATAGTTATCAAAAAAATGAAAAAAAGCAAACACTAAAAATATAAAATCAAACTCTAATTCAATGTATTATTTATACATTGTAAATTGAGAATGTAATAATTTTTATCATTCACATATGATATCAAATCATAAAAACCTAAATGTACAAATGCAATAGATTAGTTTCAAGATAGTTGTAATAATTATAATCTTCTTCACACACAATTTCCATTTTTCTCTGATATTTTCTACATCACAGTAGACTGCCTTGGTATTTTATATAGGCCAAATACAGATGCCTTGAAGATCAATAGCTTACTCAATATTAGTCTTATAGCGATTCTAACTCTATAGTCTATAGGAATGCCTGCGTCTCTTATATATCTATGTAAATGTTTCTGCAGCCATTTGCACATCTCATCATGCTATATACTTCTAACATGTATGTTTTATAAGTAGTTGTATTAATTATGTTATTGGCACTGATATTATCAGAGAGTCGATTTTATGAGACAGATTGCCAAGCATCACCTTCACAGTTACTCTAACACAATAGATAAGTCTATTCAGAATGACATGTTTTCAACATCAATAGGTCTTCGGTTTATGTGATGATACCTATTTAATTTTGCTGTGGGTACCTTTGAGCCTCGATATCACCCTATTTGACTCTAAATAGCCCTATAACAGCTGTTCAGAATAAACATTCATGAAACCAAAATAGTAAGATGTAATTACCATAGAAATATTCATAATATTTCCATGGGGGTGAAAACAGAAGATAGAACAGCCAATACTATCCAGCCATCTTGGTATATAGAGCCTATATTACCATGAAAAAGCCTTGTTTTATGGGTTTATAATCAGAAAATTGTAACATGAATATGAACTGTAATGAAGTTCATGATAAATATTACAGCAAATTCAAGAACTTTCTGGTAATGTCCATAACACTGTATTAGTTCATGGATAGATGGTACTGTCCTCAAGGGCATATATGCATAGAGACCTGTACAAAATGTTCCACAATTACAAAATTAAATTCATGTTTTGGTCACAGGAATAGAATTCTTACCTGGCGGATTATTGAATCCCTTGGAAAACTGTTAGAGCTGTCAGAAAAACTCCCATCTGATCTTTTTACTTTTCCCCGCTTTTTTCCTTTACCATGCTATAAAAATAATAAATATGAAATTGAAAGATAAGTTCAATTCTCGAGATGGAAGCAGAAAAATAAGAAAAATGCATGTAATAATAAGGAGAGAATAGAGACCTGATGCAAGACTAAAATTCTGTAGGTTTAAATTAGAATGGTCGAATGGTAAATTCAATCTAAAACACAATAAAAAATTTAGGTTATGAATCATGATAGCATTACAAGGGTTATTATTAATTTATTAAATAATAAATGTTCATCTTTTATACAGAAACATTAGTTTCATTGTTAACGGAGAATCAATTGTAGACTTGTGCCTTATTTCACAGGCAAGAACAGGAATTCTGTTATTCGTCAGGCATCATAATATATTGAGATCATATTTTGTACGAATTTTAAAATTGACAGACTGACTGGTATAATATAATATAATAAGACCAGTTGCTCTTGAATTTTTAGAGACAGGGCTTTATACCATGAGCTCACTGACTGGTATGCATAACCCTCATGTTTTTTAATATTTCTCACCTTGATACTAGCTTGATTTCTAATGTCTAATGTTTTGTAACTACAATGGGTAATTTCAGGTCATATTTTTGGCCCTTGTGTATTAATGCAGATGGTCATCATGACTCATGACTTTTAAACTTGGTGTTCATTGATGAAGAATTTGACATTGTTTTTTCCATTGATATATCTCATTACATTTGTTGTTTTATGACCATTCAATTGTTAGAATCCAATTTGGTTGCAAGAGAGGTTTGCTACAAAGCTAAACCCCAAAATTTGTATAATAGGTAAGAAACAATACAGTAATCAGGTTTTATGGGCTTGAAACCAGCGAAACAAATGTAGTCTATAGAATCCTGTACCACAGAGGCAAGTTACTTGGAATTGCATCAATTTTTTAAAATGAGATAGGAGAGCATGGGTCAGTTCTCACTAGTGGATCCATAGGCCAACAAGGGAGGGGGGCACGTTTCAAGAGAGAACATTTTTTAAGCCCAATAAGAGGCCACTTTTAATGCCCAAAAAGGCCCACTAATAACGTTTGGGCCTAAAAATAATTTTTGGGCCTATCTGCCAGTGATTCTTACAAAATATTACTTAGGGTATTTGTTTGGCTGAGTAACACTGGCATAAGTTAATCTAAGAACATGTAGTTCAGATAATCAATTTATGATAATAGATTCATTTGTAAGTCAAAACTGAAGTTAACAGCTGGAGCAAGAAGGTCTTTTAGTTCAAACGTCAGTCTAACATAGTAGTCACAAGGGAAAATATAAAAGGAACAAAAATAAATGTTTGGAAATTTAATCGATTAGACCCTACTAGGCAATGACCATTTCAAAAATATCAGATGTTATCATATTCATATTCTGACAACTACAAAATGTTTCTTGATAACATATTTTAAAAGAAAGTGGTAAACTCAAATAATTCAGGAAAGGTAGCTTTTTCACATATACAAACCATCATATAATAAGTTTTCTCTCAAACTCAATCTATCCCAAAAGAAGTAATTTACGATAATTTTATCAGATCTTCAAATATGATAGTACAATTCAATAATCTGAACATTTTTCCAGATAAATTTTAGTCTTGGGTAAATTACATTCACTTTCTCAGGGGTCTAAGCATATTTGGATAAAGTTAAAAAATGTTACATGTGACAGCATATTAAAGGAATGGAAATGGTAAAGTAGTAAATGTTTGAATATCTGTATGTACCTCCTGTGAGGTATTTTGATATTAGTTTATATTTATTGACATGAGGGCTTCAGGACATTATCAGGGAGGAGGTCTTGCAGATGGTCTATCTCTTTTATTAGTAAATTATACAGGATTGCCCTTTGCAAGAATTTGATGTCATCCAACTCTTTAAACAAAAATGATTATTTAATCTGAAGTAATTATCTTATCAGAAAAATACCATTTTTTCTGCCATTGGGTAGTTGATATTTACTCGAGATATATAGCTTCCTTTAAAGATGTTGTCATCATCAAAACTGTGTCAGTAACTGAAAATTCATTTGACTTCAAGTCTTGTTTTAGCCAATAGTCTGAACCACAGCCATAGAACAGTCTATTGGCATCTACATATTAACACATAAATATTACTCTAAAAATGTTCTCACACACTTATGAAACTCAGATGATCTGGGATTGAACTTCTTCAATTGGCAAAGCGATTCATTTTATATTCAGGATTCTAATAAGATATGTGACGTCACAATAGCTAGAACAATTAATTTACTGGTCTCTATTGGAGTATGTATGACCGCTAAAATTCATAAATGCAAATCGTTGTGTTTCTTGTCTGTTTATCATATTAGAATTGAAACAAACCCCTCGAGTTTATGATTTATGTCAAATATATGACCTCAAATTTTATTCTGGGCATCGCCAAAGACCTCAATCGCTAAGCGATTTCGGTCTTTTGAAATCTAGGTCTTTATTCCTAATTTTAGGATATCCTCCATCCAATTTGAACTTTGACTCAAACTTAATCTTATAATCAATGTTCATCAGTTTCAAATATTTACCTTGCTCATTCTAAAAATTAGGAAGGGATGGTGTAGACAACTGTTATGTAGGAAGGTTCATCTAATGCTCCATTGTTGAGCAAAGCAATATATATCATCATGGATACAACTCCTTAGTCTATTATCAAACCTATCCCAAGATGTGGACAATATATCCATCTTTAATTTGTCATCTCTCAGTGCATTCTGTGCAAATTAAAAGTTTTCCAGAAAATAACAAATTAATGCCAATAATGTCTGACATATTTGGGGACATGGATTAAGTGGCTAATTATTGTATTTCATTTATAGGTGTTGGAAGGGGTATTGCAGGTACACAAGGTTGAAAATCAAAAAATCAACCTTGATTCATTGATGTCAAGGATAGTGGGAAGTTCTGCTCTAAACTGTATGTACACCTGGTTACGAAAGTAAAATTTCCGAAAAAATTATCGCTAGCCTATTTGATTAGTCCATTCGAGAGTCATAGCGCATCTCACTTTACGAATTTTGCAATGGTCTTACATTTGCTATTATCTGGCCAGAATAGCGAGATTGACGAATGAATTATTTGTTCCTATATATCATATAGCATATGCTTATGTTGGGCTTGTATGACTGCCAAATCTGGGTAATCATAGTTTGAAAAACATCATTTTTTGAAATTACACCTCTTGATCCTTGATTGTTGTCTTACTCTTAACAATTTGGCAGACCACAAATGTAGTTCACATTGAATAAATCTACTGTTTATATGAAAACAATGCAGACATAAGCAGTATAGCTATGTTCTATTATGTTATAAACAATCAATTTAAAAATTTAACACAAATTTACCTGAGGCATGGACATTGGAGGCAAATCGCCCTCGAACTCGTAATCGCGTATATGAGAGGGCCTCGCCATTTCATCACTTTGCAGTACACTCCATCACACCTTTCCTACGTTAAACGGTCCATCCGATATTAAGGTACAATCCGCTGTAAGTTTTATCCTGTTCTGATCTATTATAACGGAGTAAACTCAAAAATAGTATCACTAAAAATACACAGGTTTTGATGTTTCTGCATCAGCTTGATTACTTTTCGGATTACATTACAAAATCAAACTCGAAAGGATTTGGAAGTAGTATCAATTCCGAAAAAAGCATGAATGTAAATTGCAAAATGTTATCTTTATATTACCAAAGATTAAACACGTAAGTCCTTTAAAAGAGATAAATGGATCATTTTGAAAATATTCCAAAGACAAATAATAGGAAACAATAGATACTCTAAATCTTCGTAAAGAGTTAATTAATTTTACTTTCAATCCACAATCTTAAACTCAGGAATTGTAAGAATTATTCCGATTGGTTGAATAAGCTACAATATTGACAGTTAACTTCCGGTAAGTAAACTTCGTTTTCCTTCTTTATTTGGGACATTGATTCTTATCCTCTTCATTCATGTATACGGATAACTCAATACAGTTAATAAGAATCAACTTGAAACAAAATGATTTCAATCAGATGTTAGTTTTTCATGGAATGGAAGGCTTACAGAACATTTTGTTACATGGTATTTCATTGGTAGAAATATATAACACACACGACGATATGTCGACTTCAACTTTAGAATAAAAGAAGAAGCAAAGGATCTAGTGCACTCTCCATTATGATCTCCCCATGAACAAAAATAAATTCATCTGATTTTTCAAAATAAATATACTGCTTTTATTATTACATTTATATGTACACTAGTATCTTGTTGACCTATATTCAGCACTGTATCGAACCAGGAAGGTTTCTTTCAATTTTAAAATGAGTTGTAAACCATAGATCTATTTTTAAATGTTAAGGTTTTAAATTATATTTTATTCAAATTCTATCACTGTTAAATTATATATCTGCTTTATATGGGCTTATTAGCCTTTTGCAGATTATTGACATAGACATAGACATGAATGGGCCACTCATTAGGGCCAATATTCAATCATAAAATGTACAGGGGTAGAGATGCCAAACCAGGAAGTCTTTTTGTGTCTGTCAAAATCCGTTTGCATCCTACACATCCCTACATCTTATCCAAATATGTTATTAATTAATGAAACTTAACAGTATAATCTTTGGATTTACAAAGTTGTATTGGATTTCATAAGTGTAAAACTTGCTTTTGAAGCATTTTTCTATAGCCATTTTGTAGGAAAAAAATGATGAAAAAATCTACAATCTTTTAATTTGAAGTATGACTTGAATCGATTGCGAACTTTATATCTGCACATCTGATGTGATATACCATTTGTGTCATATATGAAATTATTTAATTTGCAATCGATTCAGGTCATAGTGTATTTTAGGTATTTTTTTGAAAATCAATAGAAACCAATGGCCTCCATTGGAATCTCATGATATCCACATGTTAAGTCAATGGAGCACATTCAATGTCAAGTCAATACACCCTTGCTGAACTTAATGACCTCAACCTCAGCCCATGTTGGTCCAAATGCTTAAATATTTTCCAAAGTATGTGACATTGTATTCTTTATGTTACACCTAAAAATGATTCATTTTGTTCATGAGGTAATCATAATGGAAATTGCACTAGACCCTTTATTAGCTGCCCCTACATGTATGTACAGAGCGGGGTACCACTCTACTATACCTAACCCCTAGAAATGCATAAGATACTCTGTTTGTCTAATTGCATTGTTTAGTATATTTTTGAAAGTACCTTATATCATCTAACTTTCAACCGATAAACCAGTAATAAGGAACCGACAAATAAAAACAAATAGCATAATTATTACTTAGACTACTAATAAGCTAAACGGGTTGCCAATGAACACCAAATGCAAGGTATGGTAGAGTGGTACAGAGAGTAGCTTTGGATGTACAATGTACAGTATTTTAAATCATATTGAAATAGAAAAACATGATTTGGGTGTTTGATGATAACCATGAGCGAAGCGAACTGTGTGAGCGCAGCAAACGAGCGTGAGAATAGGAGGTTTTTGAAAAAAATTGAACATTTGGTTCATTTTGACCAACTTCAGAGCATAGGTTCAATTCCTTGGTCTGATTTCATTGTATGCAATGCGTTATTGACAATCCATAACCATTTTGATTTCCAGTTAAAATTCTGACTTTTTAGGGCAGTGACGGATCTGGGGGGAGCATGGGGCCTGGGCCCCCCCCTAAGTTGGGGCCAGAAAAAAATTAGGCCCAAAAAATTGTGGACCAAAAAAGGCCTGAAGGCCCCCAAAAGTGGGCCTTTTTGGTCATTACTAGGCCTTTTAAGGCCTTATTTTTTAATTTCAGGCCTTTTGAAGAAAATGGGCCTCAGAATTTCAAAATTTGGGCCCACTTTTCGGTTTTGATATTTGGAAAATTGGGGGCATGCGCCACCCCCCCTCTAGATCCGCTAGTGGTAATGATGTAAAGATAGTGATACCCATGATAAAGGGCATTGACAAGATAATGGTTCTCACTTTTTTGTGTTTTATATGTCTCTGATTAGAGCATCAAAAATGAAGGGCATAGTACAACATTATGATCTTCACATCCCAGTTTTTGGCCTTTTTCTTATTTTTGAAACTTTTTGTGACATTGACTCGTGTTGAACTTCCTTCGTTGATGGAAACCAAGATGGCGGACAAATGTTTTGACAGAAGAACAGATTGAATCGCAATTTTGCATACATTACGGGGTCTGTAAGTGACCTATTTGATGTTTTTATTGAACGGAATACATGTTTTTAATAATACCATTGTTTCCGTATTACACGTGAAACAGTTATCCAATTATTGAAGTTTGTAACTTAAAATTGTATTGATTTTATTTTTATTTTCATTTTTTTTGTTTGCTGCTTGGCTTGGGAATTTAATTTTGATCGAGAATGTTTTCAAACTGTTTCACGTTTTTAATTTCCATTTGGACAGATCTATCAGAACTGATTCAGGTCACTGAATTTTCTCTTTTTGATTTTTGGGGAATTTTTCACATACATGTACTGCAGGCCTGTCAACTGTCCCGCAATTTGCGTATTTGTCACGCATTTGCTGAAGAATTTGAAGTCACGCCAGTTTTTTTTGCGTGACAGAAAATGTCACGCAAATACGCATTTTACCTGGTAATTGTCACGCAAAAATATTTCTGTAGAAATTTTTTCGAAATATGTTTACGATACGGTAAAAATACGAACGTCTGAAAAAAACCGAACGCAATTTGTTCGGATTTGTCACGCGAATCCCGTATATGTCACGCATGTTCATTGGAAATTTTCGTACCTACCCCCCCCTCCCCCCCGTTGACGATATCGCGAGTGGAGCGAGCGCGAAAAATTTGAGGTGATCAAAGTTTGGCAAAGGTGCTCAAACTTTGGCCAAAGGTGTTTAAAAGTTGGCCAAAGGTGTTCAAAATTTGGACAAAAGTGTTCAGATTTGGACTTGTAGGTGTCCAACATTTTGAAGTCACTCATATTAGGTGGTCCCAAGTTGACAGCCCTGGTACTGTCTACAGTCTAGACTTATGCCTGCCACCGTCACCATGTTATTAAATGTTTTTATGACCGTGGTAGTGTTATCGTGACAATGCTATATTATATTGCAATCAGCACAAAGAACATACCATATTAAGCAGATATCGGACAAATTCATAAAAAAATATTTTTTGATCGATAAAATCACTGATCACTGATCACCGGAAGTGTCTTCTCTGAGGTCCGCGAAGAAGATGAAGAAAAAAAACATATAAAGATTTCAGTCAATTCAATTTTGCCGTCGATTTGATTTTAAATGGTTCTAAATAATCTCGAATGCTTACTATGACTTCTATTAGTACTGTTTTGACTTCCCCATTTCATAAAAAGAACATTATCACTTTTTACTCGACTCATAAATTTACTTCCGGTCTACCGAGAAAAATAAAAGTTCTTAAAACCTTTTCAATCCTCAGTCTAAATTTGGCTTTTTAAAGGTTCAAACGTCGACTTTGAATGGACCTTCATGTATATATCGATAAAAGGTTCACCAGAGAAGGTGTAAGACCAGGCAATCACGTAAAAATGTCTGAGATTCACATTTATTGATGAATTTCATGCTAGCCTAAAATAGTTGATACATACAAATGAAGGACTTTTGAGCGGAAGTTTTTGCAAAAAGTTGTGAAAAAAAATTTTGTCAGATGAAATATCCAAAAAACAGCATTAAAAATCTAATAGGCAATAGATTTTGAAGTGTATTCTGTGATGTACCCGGGCTGATGTCCCTGCATTCATGATAAACTGCGTCAAGAGGTGCTGTATCTAGAATAAACAAGATCCTTTTTTCATCCCCAGGTCTTCATCATACTATTTGACACCTTCAAATGGGATTCCCTGTATTCTCTAAGCTTGCAACTATAGCAAAGCCAATACAAGTGATTGAGCAATGGAGCAAGCCCAAGAATTCTAGAAAAAATTTGTACATAATTTCCGAACCTCAGAGAACAAAAAAAGTGCTGCAATGTGGAAACGAACCCGCGCCGCAGAAGTGCAAGACGAGCGCCTTAACCACTTTACCAGAGTGGTTGTTACCTTACTGGTTCGAATTTTTCGAAACTTTATACTGATATACATGTGTGATATTTTTAAGTGGCATTCTGGGTTGAAAAACTTTCGAGACTGTTGTTTTATTGTTTAGATTACGAAAACATCAATAAAAAAACAAAATAAACATGGATTATAGATACAAAGGCTCTCCAGCCAAAATACTATGTTCATAGCTAAATAGCCTTAAATTTTAAGGCTCTTTAGCATTTTGGCTAAAGAGCCTTAAAATTTAAGGTTCTGCAGACACTTCGTAATTTCTATGCTTCAACTATAAAGTATTTATCTTACCCTAGGTACTTAAAAAGCTTGGTAATTGAAGAAATATAAGCATGCTTCTTGAATTTAAAAATTTTCTCATTTTGCCTACCAAGGTCACTTCCGGGTTAATCTGATAGTCTAGATGTAAAACTATATCAAAACGAAATCATAAGTATTTGTTACACAAAGATTCAGATGGAAGAAAAGCAGTGTCATTAAAGGACAACTGAAATAACTTTTCTCAACTTGCAGCTACAAAAATGCGGTTTTCTCCATTGTAAGCCCAACATAGAGTTCTTGCGATAGCCATTATAAAAAAATGTTAGATAACTGCTAACGGTCATATATAACGAAATAAAACTAACTGATCAATCAAATTGGCCCCCAAATGATTAGTAACGTCATATACAAAATATAGCTTTGGTTTATTGGTTCCTTAGTAATCACAAAGTCACGGCAAACATAGGATTGTTGTGTAAACAAATAACAAAACATTTTGGCATTATGATGTCATGATCTAATGGACCAAAACGGGCCACGTGGGGACCAGTGAGAGATCACATGGGGGCCAATAATGTTACAACCAATTCGAATATTGCTTATTAAGCAGCTATAACGATCGTTAGAGTGAAATAATTTTCACAATACTGATGAGAAAACATGTCCAAATACATTTAACAAAAAATTATATTGATTCCTTTAGGTTAAAAATACCATTTCATATCTGCTTTAAGAAGGGAAGTAACGTGAAAAAGTTATTGTTTCAAAAATGAGAAAAGTGAGTAGTATAAAAGAACAGCTTTTGAATCTCTGTGTAATAAATACTTATGATTCTGTTTCGATCTTGAAAGAAAACATATTGTTTTAATAAAAGCCACTGTATTTATGGCCAGAAAGTACTCATTGTGAAAGATATGACTGTCTAAAATCATTTGCCATACTGTACGTGATCTTTTTAGATTCATTTAACTCCTAATTAATTTCTGCAAACTATAATTCTAATCTCATCCAAGAAGTTGAACATTGTCACGGTCATAACAGGCCTTGCAATTGCATTGTCTCGGTCATATCAGGCTTTAACATTACCACAGTCGTGAAAAGCCTTGCAATACAATATAACATTGTCAAGGTTATACCAGGCTTTAACATTACTTGGTCAATATAGCAAATAGTCTGTTGTGTGATGTCATATCAAGGGATTTTTTCAAACAGTATAATTGTAACATCGGACTCAGAGACTCTGTTTTACTGCTCTTGGTGAGGGGTATTTTTATTTCACATGTATTAGAGTTGTGACATGTTTTAGAAATAGTCTTGCAAATATCAGCCTTATAAAACTCCATGCTATTATTTCTTTTCCACCTTGAGTTTAGTTCTAAACTATAACCTCAGAATAGTTTAGACAACTTTGCAGTTTAGCAGTGAGTGCCCCCACTAGCAGTGGCCATCACACTCTAGTTCATAAATCCTTCTGAAACAAGCAAAATGACATTTTTTCAACCAACCAGCAAGCAGAGAGAAACACATTTAAATAATGGATAATGTTGTAATATTAGTCAATAATGGAAAAACAATGACCAGAGAAAATGGCCAAATATAGAAAATTATCCTTCTTGTGACGGCAAGTTCTGGTTGGCTCGGCAAGTTCAGACATTTCTTATCTTTTAAGAAGCTAAGTCAAATGATTGCAAAGCATATTTCTTTTCAGTCTTGTATTCTAGTTGAAAGATGTGATGGGTATCAGAAATAGGGGTCAAGCTTAAACATTTACATTATTGAACAAAGCAGATGTTTGCAAGAGTAAACCTATGATGGTTGAATGAGATATTCATAAAGTAAGACTCAATCAATTATTTCAAGCATTATTTGATGTGATAATTTTGATTACATTGTGATATATATTTTCTAGAAGGTGGGGAGAACTGTAAGAGACACTATGATATAGTGATGAGTGCTGCCACCTTTGAGAGCCCAGGGGAAGCGTGGGTAGCTGGTTTATCCATGATGCCTACTCAAATGGGAGCCCGCAGTGGGTCACCATCAATATTGAAGGATCCAAACTCAAAGAAATTAGATCGACCAAAGTAAGTGTATTGAATAAATGAGAATCAGTGATACAGAGAAACTCTCAAAATTGTGATCAACTTTGGAATCTTTATATTTTGTTATACCAGTACTGTATTTTCCAAAAAATCTCTGCATCTTCCTTTGTTTTTCAGGTTTATCTTGCAAATATTTGGTTTTCATTAACCTTAATTCACATCTGTATCCTAAAACTTGAATAGTCTCACCTTATTTCATTTTAAGATAGTGTGGATTTTTAGATCTCATATTTAAAGTCCCCGTCTAAAGATTGAAAATATTTTTTTATCATTCATTTACTATTTGTCAGGACTTAAAAAGTGATTTTAGAGATTTTTGAACAAAAAAAAATTTTTGAAAAAAAAGTTGTGAGCATTTCATTTCTCAAATATTCAAATTTCCCGCCATTTTTCAAAAAAAGTTGAAATTTCTTAATCATCAAATATTTCTTAATGCATTTCAAAAAATATTATCTTTTGAACACCAATGCAAAGGTTGAACAAAGGACACACTATTTCAATAATAAAATGTCATATTTAATGGGCCACTTCAATGTTTTAGCTTATCAAAAATATTTTGAAACATTAGTGATGTCACTAAGGTACCAAAAACTTTTTGAAAAAAATTGAATAATTATGTTTTAGATATCATTGTACCATTGGTTTCTATGAGTACTGAGATTTTGAAATGCATTTTTCTCAGAACCATTTTCATGCACTGATAAGTTCATTTCTCACTTATTTATGAACCGATTTTCTTAATTTTTTGGGCAAAAAACACGGGAGGATGAATGCTATGCATTGGTATGTATTGTGGCTAATTAGAAGATATGAGTGACCTCTAAAAGTTGGTTTTAAATAAATTCACAAATTTTGGAACAAAAAGTCTATCAAAAACCACTTTTTGAAATTTAAAAAAAAAGTTTCACATATCACACTTTGATAACATTGGGTAAGACTACAATATAAGCTAAAGTGGTTTAAACTTTATATGGGGCCTTTAATCTTATATTTTGGATGGTAGAGCATCCCTTAATGGCTGGTAGTACCCAATACCCATAGCCTATGTATTTCTTCTTATCTGTGATAATTTGCTCAATAATCTTGGTTTGTCTTTTTCTTAAATCCAAACTTTCTATTGTAGGTCTACACCACCTGGTCTGAAAGTGACATTTGGTAACAATAGCACAGCTCACTATGCCTCATTGAGGGGCAGGCCCACAACCACTACAGGCAGAGATAGCTATGAGTAAGCCAAAAATAATCATCATTTCGAGCAATTTCTCTGTTGAAATATAGGTTTATTGCAACAAAATGGGCTACTATGTGGTGAATTGTTGGTGAAATTGGTGTAACATTTTCTTTTGTTTATTGACACCAGATTGGATCATGGAGGTTAATTTCTCATTACAAAAAGGATGCAAGTCATATGTAATGACTAATGAGAATGTTACCAGAATGTTTCATTTAACCTTGTTTTAGAAATAATAACTCAGGTTCTATGTTTGATAATGTAGTACTGTACTCTTTCACCATCTGTCTAATAACAATGGAGACATATACAGGGTGTCTCAAAAAATGTACCCAAAACTATCCGAACAGAAATCAAAACATTCCACAAGAAATATCAAATGTGATGAACAATGTACTAGTAAGGATGCAGACTGTCATCGAAATATGAGGTTACATTGAATATGTGGTGTAAAAGGTAAAGGGTTAAAGTATCAAAAAGGCAAAACTGAATTAAAGACTGTGTATAGGGAAAAAAACTTTCATCTTTTATCTACAAGACCATGCAAAAAGTGTCTGAAAATATTGATTGGTTTGTCTATGCTGTTGATATACTTTTGGGTACATTTTTTTGAGACACCCTATATATTGAAATCTGTTCAACAAAACTTTTCATGATTTTATAACATTTGACTCTGGAGAATCTAACAGAAACGATTCACATATAGATTCATATATAGCGAGTAGGCTAATCAAACACATATCAGGTATTATATTAGGAACAATTTTGGTCAGTCCACAGAGCGTTCCTTGTTTGCAGGTCTTACCCTAGATACCTTTGGCTGAATCTAATATTTGATCATGGAACATCAAGATGTTTAATATACTGGCATCTTGTCTATTATAAATATAAATGGAGCAAGAGGTCAAGCTTATGCTGCCATCTTTTTGAAATAAAAATATGATTAAAGAGAGAATCAGAGATAGCGAGTAGGCTAATCAAAAAATTGTTTCAATTTTAGAATATTTTTGGCTCATGTCATTCCTTGTCATGTCTATTTTCTAAAAATCACAAAACTGCATACTTTATTCAAGGAAAACGAAAGATTTTTACAATAATGTATTATTTTTCTATAAGAATGGTTACCATTCTTATTATTTGGGAGAATTTAAATCATTTTTGCACTTTGAATCATTAATAACTTTACCAATTTATAACATATTGTATTTGATATTGTAAGGAATAGATTGGTAGGTCAATTATGCACATTGCTTGTTATTTTGTCACCCCCTATAGATCTGATTCTGCCTTTAATACAAATAGGACAAGTTAGTAAAGGCCGATTTTCGGTTTGGAGAACAGTCTCCTGGGCTAATAATTTTTTTCATGAAAAATATAGAAATATTACCCAAATTAAACTATGAATATTCAAAAGAGGACATTTTAATCTACAAGATGTAAAAATAACAAATTGGTCTGAAGCAGGGATAACGCTCAATTAGACCGAGTCAATAAAATACAAGTCTCGATTTGGGGAAAGAAGTTCATCAGTGTACTGCGCTAATATTTTTTTGCGAAAAATCTAGAAACATTACCCAAATTGAATTATGACTATTCAAAAGAAGATATTCAAATCTATATTATGTAAAAAAATCAAATTTGTTCGAAGCAGGGATAATGCTCATTTAGATTGATGAACTTTGTTCTCCAAACCGAGAATCGTCCTTTGTAATGAACTCATTGATATAGTTTTAAGTACCACACCCATAGACAGAGGTCACTATCAGATAAAGCATATTTAGGTTTTTAAAGGGTTAAGAGTTGTACTTTTCCTCAAATGCTTTTAATTCACAATGATGTATAACTTATACAAAGATTAGACTTGGATATAAACCAATCTTTTTGGAAATATCAATGCTTTAAAAAATCTTGTGCATTATGACGAATTCCAAATTAAAAAAAAAACTTGAACCTTTTTCAATTTAAAAAAGCAACTATTATACATAAGCAAGTGTTCCTGAACTTGGATAAGACTAAAAAGTTATTTCTTGTATTATGAAAAATGGATGGTGAGGTGTATTATTGTTCATTGACTTGGTTAGAAAAGTTTTCCCATCTGGCAAAAATCAATGCAAAGTATAATAATCTCAAAGCTCACATTTCTGCTCATTGCGAGTTTGAATTGATTACAGATATATTATTGGGTTATTACAGATATTGAATAAATAAGAATGGGTTTGTTCTGTTGTTTCAGACCTCACACTTTGAATGATCAAACTGGCTATGAATTATTGTTGCTTTTTACAAGTGAAGTTTAAGAGCAGATTGATTGATTTTTCAAATACTCCAATTCGCGACAAGAGTTCAGGTGGTAATTTACATAAATATCTCCCATGATGCTTCACTTTGGAAGGGACAAATTTTCATTGACCCGCCGAACGAGTCGATTACTCTGAACGAAACATTTGGAGATTGCAAAGGTCACGATCTGCTACTTTCATTGGACGATGATTACATAATCCAACCTATTCAATAATCAGAAAAATAATCAGAGATTCAAAGTAACATTATTTATATGCTTTTCGATCTTCAATGGTGTCTGAGCAATTTCTGGGAAATCTGTGACATCACTGGAATTGGACGGCATTTTCAACTCTAGATATCTTCGGATTTGGGGATTATAGTTCAAAAAGCCTTGTATATCTTAATTACATACATATTACATATCTATCGTTTGTGTAAATACAACTCTACATAAATGTTTAATAAAGCCGCAGTACGGCATTGAAAATCGTACCCCTGTGTAATCCAATGGGAAAGAACCTGGATGTAGACGAAGTTTTACCCTACATGAAAGCACTCAAATATACACTTGAATATACCCGGCTCTGCCATAGCATGATAACTAAGATTAACTCCCATAATCCTCAAGAGAATTTAGCTTAATGAACTTATTGTCATAGTTACTAGGCAACTGTTTAAGATGATCTAACTCAGGGGCATTATGCTAAAATGAAAAATCCATGTTCATGGCCACTTTGATTTACAAGTGAATGGGGATGATGTATGAGTTCCATTATATCAAATCACCATTAAAATATTTAATTTCACCATAGTTGATGAACAATTCAATGGAATGTTATTGAGGGGAAGGGGTAAGTGATTTATTAAAATATTTGAAATAATATATATATATTTCTTGGGGAATTTGAATTTTTAGATTGATGAGAAAAGTGATTAGAATAAAGAATGAAAGTCTTTAACTGATAAATGAATTATTGTGACATCAGTTGTATCAACTTATTATGTCATTTTGATGTATCTGACCAGGTGTAGGGTGAACACAGAAGGAATGGTTAGTAAAATTAAACTTACTCTGCAACCATTATGGGCTCTTTAATCATTATAAGTTTGATCTCATGATGATATACATGTAACTCATAAAGTACCATTTCACAATGATGGAATACACAAAATGGGTACCATTGGAAAGCCAAGACTATACATGTATTCTTTCATTTAAATCCATATTTGATGATTGCAGGTGTGAACGTGTCTACCAAGTGGAGCATGAGCCAACACGCAAGCATGGATTAGACTCACATCTACAGACAAAGAGACCAAAACCTCCCCCTTGGCAAAAACAACTTGAGGTATTTTTGAATTAGCATTCTCTTTCAAGATTGATCGTTTTATGTCTCTGTCAAAATGAACTTGTATTGTTTATTCCTATTTATTTTCCCCCATAATGTAGACTAGTCATCACAACTTAGAAATTAGTTTACACCATTGTTCAGATCTGTATGTCTTCTTGTATCTTTTTAAGCAACATTAAGAAATATTTTGTATGCTGGAAAATGTATCTATGTCTTCTTTTACATGTATAGATTGCTGTACTGTATTTTAATTGTAGAATTGGCCTCTAAATCCTTAGACATGGCTAAGTTAATTATGTGGTTCTGATGAGGGAAAGTCTTTATCACACCCTTTTCTTTTTTTCTTAACTCTAGAAATAGAGTTGAGAAAAAATCCAAGAGAGCAATAGAAAGACATGTATGAATGCAGTTTTTATGTCAATTGGCGACATATTGTTAGTCTCCAACTTTTTTTGTGGATGGTGTTTGGCAGTTGCTAGTTGGTGTTTGGTATCTGTAACAAATGGCAGGTAGTGACATTTTGTATGTGCCTTGTTATAATATTTTTGATTTGCATCGGCAAAAATAAAATGCTGATGTAGATATTAATTCTAGTGAGTTTGGCAATCATGGAATATTTGAGATTAATATAAACAGAATGTTTTTGTTAATGATCAATGCAGTGCAATTTAATTTTGAAAAGTAGAATATTATGTTATTAGAGTGCTGTGGGAATCAGAACCAAATAGTTAATTTATCATAGCTTTAGATGTGAATCTAATATGTAATTGTAATTATTACGTATACTTTATGCATGATAGCAGATTCTTTGACTCTTTGTAATGCCAAATATACAGAGTTCGTTTCAACAACTTAAATGTTCTAAATAGAAATAAGTCAATTTCATTGATATGATGGGAATCTGCATGATTTAAACATCTATGACCCATCAATGTAAGGTGTATTTTCATGTATACCTGTATTCCAATTTGATGTACATTATCAAATAAGTGTGTAATTTCTATTTAAATATTTACTAATCTATGTATTGCATGTATTGTGTGTGGCTCTTATACTAAACTTCTATTGTCTTTCTATTATGTAGCAGTATGACACTGATGGATATGACCGCACGGTAGGTCACATTTAATGCTTAACACTCATTTTTCAAATGTAACACCCATCTTGTTTTACAACCTCATACAACCTTGGAAGTTGAAGATGTGTAATTCCACCATTCATATTCATGGGCGAAGCCAGGAGGGTGCGATGATTTCCTTGATCACACCCACTCCAACCAACAAAAAAATTAAAAACCGCACCTCTCCCCTGACTCTCTTTGTCTTATCAATTGCTTTTCTGTGAAACATGGTGAAGATGGTGAGGTCTGAGTGGTAATTCCATGGGCATCTCTTATAAGCCAATGGTTAAATATTTCATATTTTTGGACCCCATATTCCATATTCCTTGTTTTCAACACAATCCATATTTTATATTTCATATTTTTACATGTTCCACATTCCATATTATACTGCACACACCACCCCAATAATTGTTTAGAAAATATATATGAGGATGTGGAACCTGAGACTTTATGCAAGGCCATATAAAATTGGAATAATTTGAAAATATTATGTGTCAGACATTGGTGTTTGATTTTCACATTGCAATAAAAGCACATTGTGTTTTGATTGTTTTTCAGCAATGTTTTTGGAATGCATTTCTATCGTTCATTGCATGCTATTTAACAAATATTATTATCACCAGCATTTGCATTTTTATGATTGTTGAGATTTGCATTTTGTACCATATTTTTTGTCTGGAGAGTATTAAGAACTTAAGTGTTGGAAAGGTGAATGAAAAGTCTAACAACTTTTTTCTATTTTGAATTATGTAATTTTGTATTAAAAAGCATATAATCTGTAATAAAGTGATTTGGAGGTGTCATTTAAATAATTTAAATCATTCTATCAATGAAATAATAAAGCATTTGAATATCCTTATTCACATTCATGTTTTAATGTGTCTGAGTTTATGCATGTACTGTGCATGTACTGTATTATGAAAAAACACAAAGGACAGAATTCAAAAATCAAAAAGTAATACTTAATGTGTATTTACTACTGAATGTTTTTTTACAACTGTTAACATACAAATATGCAATCTTTTTTCAGAGTCCCATGCGACCAGTTTCTGTTGGCAATGGCTACATCCTTTCTAAAAGCAAAGAAAAGGTTCACATGCACATTAAGACTGGTGATTTCTTTGAGCCTGTTCCAGATGAAACACATCACAATACACGATTTGGAGACCCAGAAAGGTATATACAGTTCATGTTTCCATGTAGATTTTTTGTGAAACATTGATGTTTTTAATTACCCCTCTTACCTCCCTCATCCAGCTTAGTTTCATTTTCACACTTGTAGCAAATTAAAAAGTCAATCCAGTATTCAGGTGGTGATCAGCCTCTAGAAGGCTGTATTATACATGGACTATGTGGGAGTTCTTTACAGGATCGGTTTGGCTCCAGGTTCTTTGGGTGATCAGTCAGGTTGAATAGTCATTTGGTAGAGCAAATTGATTCTTGATCCCTAATGAATCCAAACTTGTTCCCTGTACATGTATGATTGAATCCATTAACTGCGCATTAACTAATGTTAATCATTGCCACAACTCGAAGAGTTCAAACCTGTTCTAAACACTGACAACCCAACCTACTTCTTATTGAATAATTTTAGTTGAACTATATTATCTTGTTTAACTCCAATAGTCAAATTACTAATGGGTTTCTAACATGGTGATAGTTCACGATCATATATATTCTTAGATTTTTTGCACACAGACTAATATGGACATTCTAAAAATTTTGATCCGCATTGCCAAGCGCGAATCGCACTCCTTCCTGGTGAAAATTCAAGATGGCCGCCAAAATTATCGTCAAATATGTATATTTTTTTATTTATTTTTTTTACTGCCTTTATTTCAATAAAATGTGATAAATTAGTGTCTTCAGGTATTATTAAATAATATTCCTACCAAATAAATTTTTTATTTAGTATAAACATAAGAAATTGCTTTAATAGCGCCATCTTTTGATAAAATTATACCAAAATTGACGTCAAAATAACAAACATTTCCCTTATTCACTATTTCTTTTCAATAAAATTTGACAAGTTAATATTTTATCAATGCTTACTAATAATATTCAACATATAGCCGTCAAAATATTTCATTATAACCACTAAAGAAGAGTGTTTTGCAGCCCCACCTATAGGTATATGCATTGAACCTCTCTGAAACATAAATTAATGATTATTATTTTATTCATGCTGACCCGATTTGCTTATTCTTAAGTGACTGTAATCTGTAATGAAAATGTTAGATTTTCGGCACAGAGACTAATATGGATATTTTAAAGATTTTGATCCGCATTGCCAAACGCGACTCTCACTTCTTCGTGGTGAAAATTCAAGATGGCTGCCAAAATAATCGTGAAATAAGAATATTTTTTTGATAATTTTTTTTCTGCCTTTATTTCAATAAAATGTGATAAATTAGTGTCTTTAGATATTATTTAACAATATTCCCACCAAACAGTTTTTTATTAAGTATAAACATAAGAAATTGCTTTTATAGCGCCACCTTTTGATAGAATTATACCAAAATTAACGTCAAAATAATAAACAATTCCCTTATTCACTTCTTCTTTTCCATAAAATTTGACAAGTTTATATTTTATCAATGCTTAGTGATAAAATTCAACATTTATCTGTCAAAATATTTCATTATAACCAATAAAGAAGAGTGTTGTGCAGCCCCACCTATAGGTATATGCATTAAACTGCTCTGAAACATAAATTGATAATTATTATTTTATTCATGCTGACCCAATTTGCTAATTCTTAAGTGACTGTTATCTGGAATAAACATGTTAGTGTTTCTAGATTCAACAACATGTAAGTTGTAGAAAGTAGAAATGAGAGTTATATGAAGGGGAGGGGGTATGTAAGTGGGGATAAGGTTTATGTGTATATGTATTGAGGCATGTCGCCCATCTTGATTTTCTGAGTGTTTCTGCACTTTAAAGTATAACAGAACTGTATTACAATTTTCTTCATTTTAGCTATATTAAAGTCAGTTTCTAGTCTAATATCCATTGTCTCTCATGTTGATGTGTATAAAGTCAATAAATTATATCAACCCAGACCAAACCCCTGTACTTGGTGCCAAACAGCCCCTCTTTGCACTGTAATAGTGGACAATGCCCAGAGGAGATAAGAGAAAAAACGAAGCTGATAAGGGTACTTGATGGAATGCACACTGAGATGGGAGCATTTCACATCTTGGGCAATCTATGAGAGAACCCTGGATGGACAATCTCCCTCTCTCAAGCTGCCATAGCCACATCTGATACAGCTGATTCCTTTATCAAAGTTAACCATCTCGCACTAACTTGCAGACCACATCATATTACTACCTGTAGTCTTTATATTCTTGACAAAAAAGCCTGTGAGACACATTTTTTTGTGTTGTGATCATGATGAATAACCTCAGTTTGAGTTGGTTGACTGGGTGAAAAAACAGTCCCGGCTGAATGGCTCTTCCCAATTTAAGTTCTGGTGGATGGTAATGGATCTTAAACTTTTAAGGGCAACTTCAGCCTAAACAAAGATACTCTTTCTGAGTTGTTGCCATGTCTTTTTTAATACTCAATCACACCAACTAGTTAAGATCGCTACCAGTTCATATCAGTGACATGAACCAATTTAACGCAACACACCAATCAGTGCTTGGTGAATTCATTAAGGGAAACTAAACAGTGATTAAAACAACAAGGTACATGACATGAAGGAAATCATACCATCTAGATATTGTTTTGGACAGTTATAAAACTACATGTAACAGTTTAGAGTTTGGTATAAGAAATAAGAGAGGAAACAGTAAAAGGAGGCATATTTATCCTGAAAATTCCCTACCTAGAAACTGGCAAGATTGTTTGTGCTTGGAGTAAAACAAGAGATAACTGTTTCAAATCCTTACTACAAATGTGAGCAATATAATTATTCCTGAACGAAAAAGACTTCTCCAAACCTTTGGTCAGGATGTCATGTGTTAATCCACAAAAACAATCCACCAAAGACAAGTAACCTTGCACGCAATCAACACATTTGTTCTGAGTGAACAAATATGAGTTAGATTTGACAAGGGGAGAAAGTTCAGGTATTGGCAGCACATGAAATGGCGAATTCCATCGGGCCTCAAAAAGTCTATGTCTGCCATTATTCCACTCATTGACAAGTTGTGATACCACACCTGGAGCCCATGGAAGCAGGGGCAGAATTATAGCATGGGACAGATGGAACTCATTTTCACAACTGATGAATGCACTCCTCAGTCTAATAGATGATGCTTTAAACTGTTAATGTTATGTTGCTGTATGATAAATTCAGCAATGACACCTCAATTAATCAACACTGCAAGGAAGAATACATTTTTTAATTTTAAAGAAGACTGCTTCATTATTGAACACATTCCTCCAACAGCTGACGCCTTAATGCAACACTGCAAGGGAGTATTGTACAAATGTGTACATATCTGGGGTCAGCTTAACAAACCAAGTCCTATCATTTCCCAGGTATCATTTTATCTCCAAAGAACTAGGGCTGGAGAACAGAGCCATGATAAAGAGACAACTTAGAAGCCATACAGGACTACCTTAAATCAGATGGCTTATGCTAGTCAACCATTGGTTAAGTGTGGTTGTCAGAAGCAGGGTTTCCCATCAAGATGTACCAGCTTGAAGGCTGCTCTAGTATGCACATCACTGTGTGCCTGTATTCATTAGAATAACTAAAGTAAGGGTTCAAATATGACAATACTATATAAACTGCAAGATACCCCCTATTTACCCCCCCCCCCAAATTTATATGGTTGACAACTTAGAGTTGGCATTCTACTGTAAATTAATACTATAGTTTTTTATTATGCATGGTACATGATACAAATCTTGGCTCTCCAAACTATTACAAGCTTACTTCAATACTTCAATATATTATAAAACACAGTTTTGATTTTGAACAATTTCACAAATAGGGAGACATTCTTCATTATGTGTTTATCCAAATATTGTTTGGAAAGGAATCAGTTTCTACTAAAACATAATTTAATGATTTACCGAAAATTTTGACGTAATCTTAACAATGGGTGGTACTGAACAACCCAAATCTTCTTTTTAGATAATTTAAATATTTTTCAGGGTAGAAATATTATCAATTGATATTGCGAAACACTAACTAACCACATTTTATTGAATAAAGGGAATTAAAAGAATTATCAAATGAATATTATATAATTGTCGACAATTTTGGCGGCCATCTTGAATTTTCACCATGAAGGAATGCGATTCGTGCTTGGCAATGCGGATCAAAATTTTTAGAATATCCACATTAGTCTATGTGCCGAAAATCTAAGAATATATATGATCGTGAACTATCGGGCCATTATTGACTGGGCTAAAGCTAAATGAGATATTTTACCAATAAGTTGAACTGTCCATGTGGTTGTGCATGTGGTTGTGCCATTGGGATAGCTCATCCAAAACACATGTTAATGTAAAATGACAGGGTATGTGCGCATTCAATGAAATGAACCAGATTCCAAATCAAACTATGGATGAGTGCGGGTGTGTCTGATTTGCAACATTGCAATTAACTTCCTAATAACCAGGAACCTATAATTGGAGGACAGATCCTCTTAACCTGGATTGGAGATGATTTAATACAACATTTAGTTTAATTGATACAAGGAGAAACAATATCTCTAGGAGTCTTAATGCAATCAATAAAGGATTTATAATTAGTCTAGCCTTATTCATCCCATGAACAGACAGCCCTATGCTTATATTCCAGTACATGATATTGCTTCATACTATTACATGGTTATCAAATGAATGGATTCTCCAGCTTTCTTCAACTTAGAAGCAGTATATAATATCTTTGAAGTACATGTATTTTCATGTATTTATTAGAGAGATTTTGCAACTCACTTATAGCATGTTTATTGTTCCTGTATAAATATATAAATTGTCGTCTACACGTAAGAATATCACACTTAAAGACGTATAGAGCTGCCCAATAAATGATGGCTTAATCAAATGATTCATCATTTATAGACTATATGGGAATGATAAACATGCTATAAGTGAGTTGTGAAATCTCTTTACTGTCTAGAAAGCCATGCTTATTGTCATTTTGATTCTCATTGTAATGAAGTTTTTTCTGAGCTTGAGCTGTCTTTAAATTATACCTAAATACTCATGATGTCTGCCAAATTCTATTGATCAAAATATGTTCTTTGAATCTGTGTCAACTGCATATCCACATTAAATTAATTATACATGTATTATGAGTCCTATATCACTTTTGTGGGTCCCATATCACAGAGCACTTGTTTGTCAGTTATAATTCCAGGAGGTCACATATCATTTTTACATATCACTGATGTACACATAGGTCAAGTATCACTGTGTCACATATCATTTTTGAATGATGTATGCTATGTTATTTTATATGTAACTATAGCGATTAGATAAATAATGATATATGATGTAATAATGATATGATATAATTTCATTTAGAATGAACATAGCACATGTACTATGTATTATTACACTGCAATAGTTTCATTTTATATTTCATTGAATCTTAAGTATGATTAAAGATAAAGCAAATGTCTATGGTGTCATAATAGTTCTCTTTCCCTTTCTTTCTCTTTCTTGTACAAACTGTCATCTATACTTTTCTTTTCTTCTGCTGCTTGGATCTAAATGTAGAATGTGAACTTTACAAGACAATAGGACTTGATGTCTTTGGAATAGTGTTGACAAGGACCTAGAGAAAGTCTATAGCAATGAAGGACACACCACAAAGAAATTCTGGTGTTAATAACACACCACTTGTGAAAAAATCATTCCAGGAGCACATAAATGAAAAATGTCAGAAGCGGGAAAGCGCTAAACAATCACCATCTGATATGGTAACTCTGAAATATCTCCAAGACAATGGGTTAACAAAAGTAATTTCAAAATCTTTCTCATCTCAAAAAATGCCGCATATCAAAAGGAACATGTCTGAGCCATTGTCGAAGAAGTCCATATCGGATCCTGAGCTGAGGACTCAAAATTTGACTGTGAAGACTGAATTAGGAAAAACAGACAAGAACTTGGTCAGATCCGCTTCAGCTCGCGTTAAACGTTGCCCTAAGATCCATAGTGAATGGGCAGTGGATTCGAAACCAAAGTTAACAGAATTTGATGTTTCTCACTTGAAAACAAAGGGATTACCAGGGCCTAATAGAAGAAGTCAAAGTAGTTCTGAACAAGTTAGAATGCCAAAAATCGCCAGTGAGAAGGCAGTTCCAATGTTAAGACCATTATCCTATAGGAAACACACCTTAGCTCATGTGAACAGCAACCTGAAATCTTATAACATACGGCAAAAAGATGGACCCATTGATAAACTAACCGAGTCATTAGATGTGCACCATATTGCAAAACCAAGTTCGGGAAGATTAAGCCCCAGGTTTCAACAGCCAATAAGAAAACCAATGAAAGCCATCCATGTGGATAAGAACAGGGAGAAAATGTTCATAATGTCATCTGGATGTGGTGTTAAATACTGGTATAACTATACTGGGTTTGAATGGAGAGATACACCAAGAGAATCAGAAAAGTCAGAAACTGTTAAAAAGGATCGTGAAATTCTGTCTCAAATAGATAGGATCTTGTCAAAACAGGAGCCTATTAGATACTATGGTACATCCAGTAAGGTCTATCACAGAGATGATCAACGGGTGCAATCACCAAGACCACCAACATCACCTCGGAGGACATTTCAAAAGAATACAAACCCAAGGCAAGATCAGAAGGAATTTAAAGACACAGCAAACATTATTGGAAAATCTGTTCAAGTTTCACTTTCTTCAGATCAAACTGAGAATGTTCAAGGGAGGACTAGAACTCTGAATCCTGGTATGGTTGGATTACCATCATTTACAAAAAGTCCTACTTCAGAAATAGATGCACAGCCAAAGGTTTATGCTATTAACAATAATACCAATAATCAAGGAAAGGAAAACACTGGTGAACGGCATAGATCAGTAAAAAATGAAACCATTTACAGCAGCAATACACCTATAAAAGTGAATAGAAGAGAAAATACTCCAACAGACATAAATGAAGCCCCAAAATCCTTCCTTGATAAAAACTCATATTATGTACTTCCTAATCTTAAACCAGGAAATTCTGAATCTGAAAGTGACTTTGATGGAATGAGTGATTCAGAAATGGATATTCACCTATCAAGTTTTACTCCAAAGGTTCCTAAGGTGATTATTAAGAATAAGAATTCTATCACACCTGAGGCACCTAAATCCCCTAAACCAAGAAGAAGGAGGCCGATAAATACAAGTCAAACTCTGATCCTGAAGCAGAAGAACATGGAGGTCCCAGTAGCACTCCCAGCAGATAAAATGCTGGAACACAAGAACAGCTTTCCAATACAAGAAGATGCATTCCCAAATAATCAAAATCACACATGGGATAAAAATTCCAGACAAAGGAAGTTGATGAAGAAGAGAAAATCTAGCAAGAAACTTATGGTCAAACAAAGCAAAAATGATGAAAATAACATTGATGGGCAACCTAATGTGAACCAGACTATCATTATGAAGAGAAGACCAAAAACATCAAAAACAACGAGACAAAGGCCTATTGTATCAAATGTGGCAGATAAACCATACCTAGTTCAGGATGTCCAATCTTATATGAGCCTGAATGACCAAAGTGAACCACAAGAAGGATTAATCTCACGTGACTATGAATCAAAACATCATGTGATTCAAGAGAGCTCTGACAATATAACAGATACACAGCATAATGTGAATCAGACTGGCATCATGAAGAAAAGACCAAAAACCTCAAAGACAAGGTCTATTAAATCGAATGAGACTGTTATATCATTCCAAGTTAAAGAAGTCGAATCCTATCTGGGCAAGACTGGCCAATTGATACAAGAAGACTATACTAATGACAAAGGCCATGACAGAGACCTGATTGACAGTACAGCAAAGATATATAATGAGACTAAAGTTAATGATGATGAAGAAACTGATTATGAAAAGGAAATGAACAATGAAGCTGAAAAAAACAACGAAACAGAATCAGATGAAGAAAGTAGCACATCTTCTAAAGAGGAGACTACTTTTGCATCAGCTAACATATATGATGACATAAGGAAACAAATGAATCATGGCACAGAGGAAAGAAGAAAAAGTTTAAAAATCTATGATGAAACAGTGAGTGCTTCAACAAGAAGGCAACGGAGCCATAGTCTTGGTTCTACTACCCTTTCTGAAAGAATCTCATCATTAAGAGACACGGTCTATTCTAAATCCATGTTTGACATGTCTGACCTTTCAAAACAAAAGTTGTATATAATTGAAGAGAGACCTGTAGATTACTATGGAGATGGTGATCATGTTGTCAAACAAAATGATAGAAGGGACTCCTCTCTGCCTGATATCATCATTGAACCAGACAGAACACTTCCAGAGTTTATAGTTGATGATGACATTGATGTTCAGCATATGTACCACAAATATGCAGCCCACCCAGCCCTCATGAAAACCCTGAATATAGAAAATGATGATCAAACCATACATGGTGTTGACATCCCTGAGGCTGTAGCATATGACCTGGATACTCCACACAAGACATGCATCATTGAAACACCTGATCAAGATCTCCCACATATTATGGTGGATTCAGAGATAGAAATGCCTCTGCCCAAATACTTGATCTATCCTTCATTACAGCACAGAATGAACATCCCTATAGGGAAACAAAATAATGATGAAGGGGTGCACAAAGGGAATGACCTTTCTCTATTACCTCCTATTATTAATATAGAGGCATGTGAAGATATGGCAACCCATATTAGCAACAATGATAGACTGAAATCAGGCTACTTGTGCCTTCCCTTTATAGACCACTCAGAACCTAATGTTAATGCACTGTTCCATTATTGGAAAAATAAATCAAGTTGAGTCTTAATTACATGACCCCAACACTCAAACCTAGACATGTGGGTCAGAAAATAGAAATTAGATGGATCGTGAACAGTGAATTGGTACAAAATAAGGATTGTTTTTGTAATAAAGTGTAGATCTACATGTAATAAATGAATGCAATTGTACAAACATAGATACACATATTCTTTTTCCATATACTGTATCTTGCTTCCTACATTCTGTTACTTTCCTGTAGATTTCCACTTTCTCTACCTGCTCTCATATCAAAAAGGAAAAACTGGTGAGTCTTGGTATACATTGCCCCTTTTACCATCACACTATCCCCGGGACACTATCAAGCAGCTTTCACAAAACATGTGATTATTCTCCTTCCAGAACCATTGGTAGTCAGAGGTAAAATTGACAAAATAACGTCTCATGGCAGGCTCAATGAAGAGCTCTTGTCATGCCACCAATGCTTCACGTCACTGTGCCCCTCTTCCCAAATAGCCAATAATTTAACTCAGTTTCTTCAAGGTTACATGTTAGTCCCCATGTTCCACTGTCTTATTGATTATATTATTAAAAAAATTGATGTGACTGGCATAAGAAATCAATTGCTTCAAATGCTTGATCACTCCAACCAACGAAGCTTGAGCACAACCCTTGTACAATGGTTTGAGACTTATAAATACACAATGAGATATGAAGTAATAGCAATTCAGTCCATTCCCTATATCTAGATTTCCAAAATTGCAAAGAATGGATTGGAAGTTGATAATAAGGGTTTAGCTTTTTGAAAAATCCTCTTGCATTTTGTAAAGCATATGTTGGATATTGATAGGAGAGAAAAAATACATGTATATCCATTATTGCAAAAGAAAAAATATTTTGTTTAAGGGTAAAATGCTTACCTTCTGGATCATGAAGATCATCCAAGGTTTAATGATGGGTCATCTTTTTTTACGTTTCCAGAAAATCCCTGATTGCCAAGTTACTAGATTAAATAAATCATTTCATGAATACAAAAGATAAAATGTTCATGTGCACTTTCAATTCAAAATCTGAAATACACTTTCAGGGAATCTTTGATTGCTCAGTTACAAGAACAGATAAATGATCTCACTCTGTACCTAGAGGAGGAAAAGCTGAACCATAAAGACACCAGGAGAAGGGTATGTTGTGGTATTTAAATATTTTTGTTACAAAAGTAAGGAATTGTAAGTCGATTATTCTGGTGTCTCATGAACTATTCATTCGCAAATGCTTAGATTTTGTTGTTGATACACATTTTTACCTAAAAGATTGTGATAATTCTGCCTAATTCTCATGAAATTATGGAAAAAGAAAAGTCGTGCGTCCAAGGCTTCAACAATTTGTTACCAGTTTGAAGAGTTCCATCAAAGTAATATGTGGTAAATCTTGAATAACAACTTCCTGTCAGGGGGCCATTACTCAAACGTACAATTCCTGATTTGCAATTGTTTTTACAATGTAAATAAGACAATACATGTATTTTGTTACAAACTCACAGTGCCATAGCAACTACATGACACACTGGGTAAACATGAACACACTAAACTATGTTTACTTCTACTTCAAATGCAAATGCTGCTAAATACTTTTTAAAGGTAAATGCAGAGAAAGGTAGAGTACATACATGCTTTTACTTTACTCTTTAGATGGAAGACCAGCTTAAAGACCGGTTGAGTGAGCAGAAATCAAGTCACAATGAGTTTGTGAATAACTTGGAAGAGAGATACAAAGATGAACTAGAAATGCAGAAACTTAATTATGAACGAGAAATAAAAGATCAGAAAATAGCATCAGAAAATGCAATAGGTAAGTTAAGTATGTACTGTAGGTTTCCATAGGTTGGCTTATTACCTAAGGCATAATGTTTTTGCCATATATACATTTTATGCCATTTTGTATTATTAGACTCCAGATGTCAATCTGGAGTCTATTGTTTTTGCCAGTATTCTTATTAGACTCCAGATTGAAAATCTGGAGTCTATTGTTTTTGCCTGTTTTCTTTATTATTATTATTATTATTTTTCTTCCTCCTCACCAAATTTCTCGTCAACTATAACAGCTTACTTAATCCAACTTACATGGTTAACTAAAGACTGAAACCGGCTTTCTGGGAAATTAGGTCAAATTTTTATCTAGGTCAAAGGTCAAGAACTAGGTCAAATCTTACATTTTCAACATTCTTCATCATATCTTCGTCAATATTCTTCGTAACTCCTTCATCTTTTTTTCATCGTGTAGCTTAGAAAAAGGCGAATCAAAGATATGACATCAGAATTTTGATTACTCTTACCGATTTTGAGATATGGTGTCCGAAATGTAGGTCACGCCTAAACATGCTCCAAATCGAATGTGTGAGCTATGATAAAGATGTAGAATTGTCTCAGGAATCCAAATCTGCAAACCAAATTTGGATCGGACTTCCGGTTCGGACGTTATGGCGTGTTGAAAGCTCAAAAATCGCTCAATTTGGTGCCTATGTTAAGTCAATGGGAAAAAAGACTTTTTCGAAGTGTAAAATACAGGATATATACTGAGTACAGCTTAACATAATGAATGCTTATAAAAGAAGGGGACCTCAAAAGCTACATAGCTTCAAAATTTGGACACCAAAATGCCTAGGTCAAAATCTAGGTCAAATTAATAGTTTTTCCTTATTTTTACGATTCTGACACTACACTTTAATAATTTACTTCAAAATTTTGTATACAGGTTGCAAAGAGTGTGCTAATAGTGTTAGCCTTTTGCCGTCAGAAAGTATTTTGACCCACTTTTGAGATATGGTGTCCGAAAAGTAGGTCAAAATAAAAAGTTCTCAAAATTCAACGTATGAGTTATAAATTAAGGGTAGAATTTTCTCAGGAATCCGAATCTGCAAATAAAATTTCGATCCGACTTCCGGTTCGGAAGTTATGGCGTGTCCAAAAAGTAGGTCAAAATAAAAAAATTCCAAATTTAACGTATGAGTTATGAGTTAGGGGTAGAATTTTGTCAGCAATCCGAATCTGCAATTCAAATTTCGATCGGACTACCGGTTCGAAAGTTATGGCGTTTTGAAAGCTCAAAAATCGCTAAATTTGGTGCCCCATGTTATGTCAATGAGAAAAAGGATTTTTTTGAAGTGTAAAATACCAGATATAGACTGAGTACAGCTTAATATTCTGAAAGCCTATAAAAGGAGGGGACCTCGAAGGCTATCTAGCTTTAAAATTTGGACGCAAAAATGCCTAGGTCAAAATCTAGGTCAAATTTATAGTTTTTCCTTATTTTTGCGATTCTGACATTACACTTTAATGATTTGCTTCCAAATTTTGTATACAGGTAGCAAATAGTGTGCTAATAGTGTTAGCCTTTTGCCGTCAGAAAGTATTTTGACCCACTTTTGAGATATAGTGTCAAAAAAGTAGGTCAACATGAAAGTTTCTCCAAATTTAACGTATGAGTTATGAATTAAGGGTAGAATTTTCTCAGGAATCCGAATCTGCAAATCAAATTTCAATCCGACACCCGGTTTGGAAGTAATGGCGTTTTGAAAACTTAAAAAATTGGTATTTTGATATCCCATGTTATGTCAATTATCTTTGTCACTATTCGTCATTACTCCTTTATCTTTTTTTCATCATGTAGCTTAAAGACAGTCCTTTCATTATTGTAACTGTCTTTTATGATTACTCTTACCGATTTTGAGGAATGGCGTCCGGAAAGTAGGTCAACATAAAAAGTTCTCAAAATTTAATGTATGAGTTATGACACAAACGTAGAATTTTCTCAGAAATTCGAATCTGCAAACCAAATTTCGACCCAAATTCTGGTTAGATAGTTATAGCTGTTTGAAGTCTCGAAAAGTCGATATTATGATATCCCCATGTTGAGCCAATGTAGACGAAGATAAGCTACTTAAGAGTTGACTAAATGTCTGTATTCTAGATGACTCGCTTATTCTGAATGGCTCAGTTTACAGTATTTTGGATGACTCAGCTTAAAAAAGGTTTAAATCTGGAGTCTTAAATTGAACTTGTTCAATTTACATGTCTAGTTATTCTTCTTCTTATTATTCTGTAGCCGTTTTTTCAATAACTATAAGGTATCCAGTAAAGACCATTATACAGTTAATTTAGGTTCAGTATCTAGTTGGTGGGAAATTGGGTCAAATTTTTATCTAGGTCAAAGGTCAAGAACTAGGTCAAATCCAGTACTTTGTCACTTTTTTCAATTTTCTCAGTCGTCCTTCAATATTTTCGATCCAGGTTTTTTTCATTGTGTTCCTCATAAAAAAGTAGGAAAGCTAGGGTCGATTTAGTTTTTTGATATCTCAAACTGATTTTGAGATATGGCGTCCAGAAAGTAGGTCACACCAAAACGTGCTCCAAATTCAATGTTTGAGTTATGAATTAGGAGTAGAATTTTGTCAGGAATCCGAATCTACAAACCAAATTTCGATCCCACTTCTGGTTCGAAAGTTATGGCGTTTTGAAAACTCAAAATTCGCTAAATTTTGTGCCCATGTTAAGTCAATGGGAAAAAAGATTTTTTTGAAGTGAAAAATACGAAATATAGACTGAGTTCAGCTAAATTTAATGAAAGCCTTCAAAAGAAGGGGACCTCAAAAGCCAGCTTCAGAATTTGGACACCAAAATTCCTAGGTCAAAATCTAGGTCAAATTCAAAGGTTTTCCTTATTTTTGCGATTCTGACACTACACTTCAATTATATTCTTCGAAATTGTGTATACATGTAGCCAAGAGTGTGCTAATAGTGTTAGCCTTTTGCCGTCAGAAAGTATTTTGACCCACTTTTGAGATATGGTGTCCGAAAAGTAGGTCAAAATAAAAAAAATCCAAATTTAACGTATGAGTTATGAATTAGGGGAAGAATCTTGTCAGGAATCCGAATCTTTAAATCAAATTTAGATCCGACTTCCGGTTCAGAAGTTATGGCGTTTTGAAATTTCGGAAAATCGATCTGATGGTATCCTGATAGAAAGTCAAGAGTAGAGAAGAAAATATTGAAAAATTCATCCATCCTTCCTATCTGATCCTATCTTATCCTATCCTTCCTTCGTATCCTTTCTTTCCTATCCTTCCTATCCTCTCCTATCATATCCTTTCTTCCTATTCTGTTCTATCCTATCCTTCTTTCTTATTCTATCCTATCGTTCCTTCCCATTCTATCCTATCCTATCCTACCTTCCAATTTTATCCATCCATCTTATTCTGGATGACTCAGCTTATTCTGGATGACTCGGCTTATTTTAGATGACTGGGCTTAAAAAAGTCTAGATCTGGAGTCTGAAATTGAACTTCGTTCAATTTCCAAAGTCTAGTTACTTCTGTTTGCTTCATACTAGAGTGTGGAGGCATTTGGCATATAACACTAATACTGGATAAACTATTTATGTTACATACAGAATGGATAAATATATTTGTCACTACAAAATTGTAAAAGTGAAAAGTATTAGAAGAAAGTTTTATATCTTATTGGAAAGGTGACTTGGTATACAAATGAATGTAACACTATACTGTATACTAGTATACATATTTATCTTAGGTAAATTAAAGGGGGAGATAGAATTCTTGCATGGGTCATTCAACTCCTACAAGACATCTCTGACAATAGAGATGCAGGAGAAATGGGCAATAAAAGAAGCAGATATCAGGATGACACACGAGGAAGAGCTGGAGGAAGCCTTGCACAAATTAAGTATGGATACAGTGAATATTTAAATCATGATTTTGATTTCTTTAAAATGTAATAGAGGAAATTACTTTTTTAGAAAAATGTTTACTGCTTTTAATAAGCAGTTCAGAGTCGCCAAATAAGCGAAAGTTATGGTGGATTTGCCTGACCTAGAAAATGGTCAGGAAATTTTAAAATTCTGAGAAATGTCATGGAAAAGTTGGAGAATTTTGAAAAGTTGAAAATTAGACCACAAACTGAAAAAATATAATGAAATGAGAAAAAACTAAAAGAAAACTACTAAAATGATATACATGGGAACATGCAATTTTTGTATTTTACTATTTTTGTCATGGAAATTTCATTTGAAAATGAAGTGTTAAAAATTTGCTGTATTTTTTAAGAAATATGTATAAACTTAGCCTTTAAAAGTAAATTAATTATGTTTTCAAATAATTTTTTATTTTGACCCACTATTATCAGTTTAAAATTGAAGGTTAATAACTTAATAACCACTGTAGTTATCTGAGCTGCAGGTCCCCAAACCGCCTTTATGATATAATTATGTTCCTTTTAAGGGGTTAAGCTGATTCAAGAGAAGAACATTGAGAAGCAAGAACTTGAGAAAGAGGCTCAGCGAGAAAGAGCTCTTCAGCAGAGAGAACACAAGAAAGAAATGGATGTAAGACTTTTGTCAAAGTTCTAAACCTTTTTGAGTTTCATTAATATAATACAAAATCCAAATGTCTATTATTATGTTACCATGGCAACATTCAGTTGGCTATCACAATGTTACCATGGCAAAATTCAGTTGTCAGATATTGTGGCATAATTGTGAATTACTCTTTAACTCAAAATTGTAAACGTTTCCCATATATTGAATTCTCTAGGTACATGGGGGCATTTCTGTAAGCATCCTTAAAATCAGTTTTCTCCAATACTTTTGAATCACCCCTTGTTTAAACATATATTTTTTTATTCATTTTATTTAACCTAATAGGTGATAATAACACTAAAACAATCCCTCCTGTGGTATACAATACATAAAACTGAAAACATGTAGCTGTAATCATGTTAAAGATTACCATGATATTGTGATGTTTCAGTCTTTGGTGCGCAAGTTCTCCAATGCTGCTGCTGATCTGGAGAAGCTCAAGAAAACTGCTGCAGAACTAGAGGTCAGTGTAAATGCATTAGCCTTGGCAAGAACTTAGAAAGAGTTCTTTGATCTAATCTGAGTCTAACAAGAATATTTTGTCGTAAAATCACAACGCTATAATTTGGATGGATACAATTTTGATAGAAAGCTCTCAAAAGGGTCCATTTGAGACTGTTTTGATGTTAGTAGCATCAAAATCATTTAGGGAGGAAGGGTAGTGTAGTTAACCAATGAGGATTCAGTGTCAACAATGAATGTAAAAGAAACATCTCAGAATGTATTCAATATTTATCCAATGAACTACAGACTGGTGATTTCATGGATCCATTACTTCATGTAATTAAGTATTAAATATTTACCATCAAGGCCCCTATATCTGTATTCAATCCTATGTGTACCATATGTTTTCATAAACATTTTCAGGATGTGAAGAATGCCCACAAATTGCTGAATGATAAATATGACCTTGTGTGTAAACAGTTCACCAAGACCACTCATGAACTCACTGATACTGTAAGTCATTTATTAAATTATTCTGACTGCTCAAAATGATCAAATAATACTTGTGGCCAAAACATATTGAACCATATTTCTGGCTAATCAGTCCGATGTTATATTGCGTAGTAGTAAACAGAAAACACACCTCACTTTAACAGGTTGGGGGTTAGGGAGATAAAGAGGGGAGGGGGTCCAGAGACACGATGCAGGACTTTATATACAGTATAGAGGGTGTAACATATACAAATGTATTTTTGTAGAAACTGAAGCTCCTGGAATATGAAGAGAACTTCCAAGACAAGGTGGCCACTGTGGATGACAAATATAAAGAACAAATACATGACCTTATGATGAAAAATACAGAACTAAGGTATGCTACATTTTTATGTCACTGGCATGTAGTGATGACATATTGTTATAGCCACTGCTTTTTCTGACTGGCATTTAATGTCAGCTTCTGAAATTGGTAGTGACATTTGTCAGTTATTCCTTTGTTTATATTTTCCATTTATTCAATTTCATATAGTATACGAATAGTATTAAACATAAATCAGAAAAATGGCAATATTGGCTTAATGAAAAGTTTGTGTATTTGAGGTCAATAGGTCGAAAAAGCCATTTCAATTAATTTGAATTTTTTGCTTTTCCCCCAATGAGGATAGCCAAGCATGAGGCACATCCACTAATCTATTTCTGCATCATTTAACATTGAGATCAAATATTCATTTTTTCATCTTTCTTACATTTAATCTTTGTAATTAAATGGTGCATTCTTCTTCTTGTTCAACTATTTCACTTTTTTTGATATTAAGTAATTTGATTATTGTTGTTGTCTATCTCCAGGAGAATGTATGTGAAGAAATGTGGCCAGTTATTTGATGAGAAAGCAGAATCAGAGAAAAGTTTTGTGCAAGATATTCAAAATGCCAAAGATACCATGCATGTAAGTATGCATTTATAAAATGTACTTTCAAGTATTATACAATCTTTTTTGAAGATATAATGTCCAAAAGCAAGAACAGGCTCATTGATTGGTGATTGTATTTTATGATGTATTTTCCAATTTTCATAAAAATGACCTCATAATGATAATAATAACTTAAATAGTGAAATTCTACAATACTACCCTCCAAATTTGTGGCAACCATAAGTCTCCTTTCAGACATGATGACAATTTTATGTGTGGTAACTTTAACAAATTCATCGGTCATTAACTTTTGACTTTGACAGACTATTATATCTAATGCCAAATTATTGGGAGGGGATGTAGAATAGTGACAGTCCATTCTCTAATACATTTCTCTCGTATAGCATTGTTTTTTATCGTCTTTTCCATGTGTTTATTCACTCCACAGCCTCGTAGAAGGTTGTTTGATGATGATATATTCTGATGTGTAAGTTTGCATGTTTACATTTTGCATGTACTGTTGTGTGTAGTCCGCTCATGCATGCTTTTGTTGGTACATGTGGTCTAGCCATGCAAATTTTGCATGATGCACGATGCATTAGTTTGCCATGCAGGGATTCCCTCAGTTTATTACATTCAGATTCAAGCCATCATTGATATTCCCTTAATATCGAGGAGGATTAAAAATCAAGTAATGCAATTGTATGGCATTCATGCTAGGAAATTATGATTAAAGTCACATTTCTTAAATAGTCTATACTAGTAATGAGTTGTACCTTCCTCATAACAGCTTATATAACATTTCAGAAGAGCAAGTCCCTCAGTTATATAGATTGTCACCTACATAATTGGTCAACCTGTAGAGCTCCAGGTGGACTAGGGTTACTAAACCAGTTATTGCTACCAGATCACAGTGTCTCTATGCCCACAATAGAGGGCGCCGGGGATATTGTGTTAGTGTCAAGGACACAACGTGGAGTAATGGCATTTGTGAAAGAATTATTTGTTAAAAATTTCAGTTAGACATCTAGAAATAAATTTCTATAGTGTAGTGGATTTTAAAAAGTTCTTACTTGAGACATTGCAACACTCATTGAGGCTTTATATATGCCTCCAAGAAATAGATTTCCAGATATATGTAGCTTAATTAATTGATTTTCATAGTTATAGATTCTCTGTTGTTCAGTATTGTATTGTATGAGGAAGGTTATTGCATGAGCTGTTTTTTGTTAATTTGAAGGAAATGAAGTTGAACCTACATTGAAATTCATGAAATTATAGTTATAAAATTTTGGTATGTTATAATGATTAACTATGGTCCTATGATATAAACAAGGGCGAGTGAACAGAAATGCATGTCTTCCTCCCATTTGTGTGTTAGTGTTAAATATGTTGTAATGGTGCATCTTTCTTGTTATAAAATGTGTATTACTTTAATTACAAACAGCATTAACAGTTTTTGACAGGGTAAATGACATTTTAGACATACAGGTATGAAAAGTAATGCTTTGAGGATTTTTTGTGAAACTTTTCGAAAATATCTAAAAAATATACATTTTATATCTCGTGGATAATGTAACATAAAACCTTAGTAAGGGAGATTACCATGCTAAAGCCTTTGTGGTTTAAACCTTGAAAATGTACTCTTATTGGTACTAATAGTTATTATTAACAACATCATGATAAACCATGACATCTCATTTCTTCTCAGCCCTGAGATGCCATTCAGGTGAAACAGAGAGATGCTATGAGAATCAGAATAATGATTATATGGTAGCTTTGTCAGCAATAGCAACATATTGTCTGGCTTTTAACTCAGACTCATTTCAAAGGAACCTGTCTATTAGTGCTCAACACTGGACAAAACACATGTAATAATAGAATCCTGGCAATATTTGCAGTAACTGGCAAGATCAGACTTTACACATGCTTTTTGCTCATTTCCATTACATTTCAGACAATAATCAACACTAGGAATCGTGCCATGGTGAACCTAGCAGGTGGTGATCTGACACTTGATGACAAGCCTCGAAAACCATTTGAGCGTCCTACAAGCGCTCCCGTGACACGCCCAGAAGCAGAAACTGCACATCTCACTGCATCTCAGACTGAACATTTAAACAAAGAAGGAACTAAGTTATTGCAAGTTCAACCTACGACAGTAAAGGTAGCATTAAATAGACCAAAGACCTCATTAGGGACAATGGAATATGAGGTGGAAGCTGATGTCTCATCGGCTAAAGCGACAATTGGAGATAATGCAGAGAGTGAAGCTCAAGCTTTACATTCCTTAGGGTAGTCATTTATTATTCTTCCATAATGCCTTCAAATGAATGAGAAACAGAGTGCAAAAAGTGAATCTTAAAACCCAGAGGTAAAAATTCCCAGCATTATTTTCCATTCTTCTTATTGCCTTGCATGGATCATTTGCTTAGTCTGGAGATGAACATTATACATGTACATGTAGTAGTATTTTTACCAAATTGGTCCAAGCGAGTCAAAATAAGATTTTGAAAGAATGGTGGGAGTGTATCCTCATTGACTTGGTATGGATTATGTGAATTTGTCTTACAGTATAGTTCCATAATTTTGTCTGCATATAAATAATCTGCCTTGACAAAAACAACAAACTTACCTATTCTATTAGATACTTAATAATTTTCTCACTAATCTTATAAATCCACAAAACAGCGATAAATAATTAATTTTTTAGTCTGTTACATCTCTTCATTTGTACACTCCTGACAGTCTGTCCAGCCAGTGTTTATGAAATATATAGAGGATATATGATTTATGAGTGATACTATAATTATCCATGAAATGATACCTGCGCAAGGGAGCGAAGATTTCAATATCCCTGGGTGGATAAAATTCGTATCATGAGTAAATGATAGGATGTTCTTTTTGGCTCATTAAACCAGACTTGAAATGATTCAAAGCAGACTTTCCAAACAACTGATTGGCCATGGTAATAAGTCAGCCTTGTTTGGAGATGTAGCAAAAATATCTTAACCAATCGGATATAGCACTGTATCTCATGGCTTAAAAGCTGTGTTCGATGGTTTAGGGAATATTTGCCAAAATATGATATTTTTCCACTAGTTACCAAAATACCATTTTATTTTGACATGATATCTAAGTAACTATGGAAACAAATGGACATTGTTTTGTTAAGAGAATGTATTTTATTTAGTTGCAATTTTGTTAAAAAGCCTTTAGGCTCAAAATTTCAAAATTTTTACGGGTACAAATAGGTTCAATTTTCAATAGAATGCAATGAAAAAAACATGTTACTTTGAATGATCTGTGAAAAAGGAAGTATTAGTAAATATATTCATGTACATATACTATAATATAATATCCTTGTACTATATATGGCTTCAAATGTGTTTTATACATTTATAGATGTATGCATTAAATGAATATGATCTCAATTTGACTGCTTCATTGTGTTTAAGATGTTTATAGACTATGGGCTATGAAGGAAGAAATAATAGAAGTGGAACAGTGTTGACTTTTAACTAGAGATTGATTGAAGTGTACCTTGCAATAACGCTTATAGTTATAGTAGTAACATTTTGCAGATTCTGATTTATATATGAACATTTTTATTATCTTCATTCTGTCATATTACATAATTTTCTGAGAATCTGAAAACTGTTTCGTAGAAATCTTGTTTTAGTGTTCTTGTTCTATTGTAAGAGAAATCCATCAAATACCCTTGATGAACTAAAGACAATGGGTGTGATATGTAATGTTCAATCAAAGAATACACCTGATACTTGTTACATAGACTATGGGGACTATGTTATTTCCACGTCTCTAACTATACAAAGATATGTTCAAGTCTAAGTATTTCTTGATAGCATCTTGATTAGTAAATGGGTTTGCCAATTGTAATTACAGTATTAAACATATGTTATCAATATAAGTTGTGATAGTTTGTATTAATTCAACAAAGACTAAGATGACTATAAATATTATTATATATATATACTATATATATATTACTATATATTATTATATATATCTTATATGTATATTAAAGTGACATGTTTATTCATTCAATAAATTACAGAATATTTTATTATAAATTAAAATGATTGTACACTGTTCATATGTACATTTACACTATCTGTATGCTGTCCATCACCCGTACATTATAATATTAGCACTCACTGTACAATGTTCTTGGACACTCTCATTCTCAATATATATATAAATGGTCACAAACTTACAATCGATCAATCTGGATCAAAATTAAAATAATTTTGGGATCATGGCATTTTTATTTTGCTAAAATAGAAAATCAGTTTAAAGAACTATTACTCAATCTTTGGCCACAAATTTCCGGATATAGACCTCCTCTTAACTACTAAGAGGACATTACAGTCTTAACCTAATTCAATGCAAGCCAGTTATATAGCGTTGCCACTATATAGTATGTTACAACTGCATTGTCTCTACATGTATGTAACAACTGCATTGACACTTGCCATATAGCCACTTCTCACACTGTTTTAATTAACAAGGACTCTTTTGAACCCTGATTATATGCTCATAATCACTATATTTAAATATTGCAGTATTGCTCTACATCTATTTCATTTTTTCATTTTCAAAACACTATTGGTAATATTACATGGTTAATAAAATATTACACACATATCATTTTTGTATACTTTTGAGAGCTACCTGCTACATGTGCTACAGTGTATATGTAAGCATACTTTTTAGTTCAAATGCTGTTCATCGTAGAGAATCTAAAGATGATGAGCATATGTCAACTCAATAATAAATTAAATTTTACATAAAGAATGAATTCCAAATATTACATAGGTCACTTAACTCTTAGCAGACTGCTTAAAGTTAATGTTCCACATTTATATTTATATAAATATTTAGAATAAAAATATGAATAATAGGAAATAATAAATACTATTGTCATACATAAATATTAGAATAAAGTAAACTGATAACACTGGTTTATAATATATATAGCTCAGAGGTAGTGTAAGTTTCTATTGAACCAAATTCAGACTAAAAGAAAAAATATGTTTTATAAGACACATTCAACACATGCACATGACCCAATAACCATCCCAAATGCAGAAATGGAAATAGTTTTTATAACATTTAAAGCACCAGTATTACATAAAATAATTTGCAATTAAAAATATACAGTATTAAGGTCATAACTCCATGTATGTGTGCATATTTCAAAATACATCTTATTAAATCAATCTACAAGGAAAGGTGGGTTTCCTGACTGAACGTGTTTGATTGCACTAGCCTAGATATGTTGCTACATTGTTTGATTCCACTTAAACATAGAACCAAAGATAGAGGGCGTGGCACATTGCATGCTATTACAGTTAAAGGTGATCAACAATCATGGACCAGTGTCAAATGTATTGAAGTTTGGATATTTCATCAAGACTGGCATCTATTTTTATTATCTACAAAGTAACCCCCTAGATGAACATATTTCAGCTGATATTCCTCTTGAAACATGGTGGATCTTAAAACTATAAAAGTGTATTTTCCCTTTTTGAAGTTTTGAACTGAATTCACACTTCTTAATGCTGAAATTGATAGTTAATCCATACATTTTCATCTATTGTATTTTGAAAAAAGAAAATTAAGAATATAGGTATGTCAAAGATGTTAAGCCAAATGTTGCCTTGATAGCTCAGAAAAAGAATCTTATTTTCTCTCTACAGCCCTTTTCGCCCCTTTAAATATACATGGCAATTACATGGGTACTAACAAGACCTCATACTGTGAACTTGCTCGGCAGTTTGGTGGCTAAAGCAAAGAGCTATATTATGTATAAGCTCGGCATGTTCAGCTTGACATGGATTCTCAAATGCTCATTGTATCTTGAGGTCTGGTTAATACTTGTGAATTATATGACAAAAGGTCATCATCTGGTTAACTGGTATATTTCCAATGGTTGCAAAATGTATTAAAGCAGATATGAAATGGTATTTTTAACCTAAAGGAATCAATATAATTTTTTGATAGATGTATTTGGACGTGTTTTCTCATCAGTAGTGTGAAAACTATTTCACTCTAACGATCGTTATAGCTGTTTAATAAGCAATATTCGAATTGGTTGTGACGTTATTGGCCCCCACGTGATCTCTCTCTGGTCCCCACATGACCCATTTTGGTCCATTAGATCATGACGTCATAATGCCAAAATGTTTTGTTATTTGTTTACACAACAATCCAATGGTTGCCGTGACGTTGTGATTACTATGGAACCAATAAATCAAAGCTATATTTTGTATATGACGTTACTAATCACGTGGGGGCCAATTTGATTTATCAGTTAGTTTTATTTCGTTATCTATGACCGTTAGCAGTTATCTAACATTTATTTTATAATGTCTATCGCAAGAAGTCTACGGTGGGCTTACAATGGAGAAAACCGCATTTTTGTAGCTGCAAGTTGAGAAAAGCTATTTCAGTTGTCCTTTATGTTAATGAACGTCTTCGGTGCTAAGGAAATAGGCTTGACATAGAATGATATTGGAATAAAAATAAACTGAATAAGAAACAATCTTTGAAAAAGTTGCTCTAGATCTCTGATTCTACCTTTGATGGTTCGTTGTTCATTGGATATGACAGGCTAGAGTAATTGAATTCTATATTTAACATTATTTTGATTCTGTTGAAAGATAATATTCACACAAAGCTTTTTTATATCCTCAAAATTTGGCAATTATTACAAACATTGAGATACATTTCTGTCAAACCAAATAAAATAGAGTTTGCTTGAATCATTATTTAATAGTTGCTGCTGTACTGTTGATCTTGAAGCTTAAAATAAATATAAAAGGATATTATAAGAATTCATCAATTTACCCTAGCCTTGTGTTTCTATGCAAACGACTTCAATATTTAGTACACACTCATGAATGTAATTTACTTTCACACATATGTATGGAATACAATAAAAATAAAAGAAATGTTGATTTTTCCAATAGTAACATTGGCAAGATTGACCTTCAATAGAAAGTCTTGAAATTGTAAATTTTGATTTATGTAAGTTTCAAATGCAGTATTTTAAAAATTATGTTACTTATATTCAATCATACATGAAAATATTATATATAATATGTATAAGTATTGCATGTATTTGATTACATAATATTCGTAGTTTTGTGAGTAAGGGCAATCCGCAACATTTTCGCTTCAGTTCGGTACTTGACCAATTAATCTGCTCAATAAGCATAATTTCCCATGATTCAGTTTTCAAAAGCAAAGAACCAAACCAGCGAACTCCCGTGCAGTGATATTATCACTGCGGCAGGCAGGTATCTCACCGTAAGCATGGTAACTCGATGATTTCTTCTCATATTTCAATAATTTTGAAATATTTTGACAAAATAATGTTTGGGGAACATTTATGAATACATATTTTATAAGTTGTGTGAAAATTGACCACATATATGATGAAAAAGGGAACTATTTTCCCCAAATTTTGGGGATTTTCTTCGTCTGCCCGCCGCAGTTTCTATACCGAGACACTGCATGGGAGTTCGCCAAACCAGTTACTCATTGCCCTTAGTGAACTAAGTAATATGGAGCTTAATTTAATTCTATTTAAACCCACATCATTAAACCTCACAGAAGTGATAAACTGTGAGTTCATATCAATGTAATACATGGGAGTTCGCCAAACCAGTTACTCATTGCCCTTAGTGAACTAAGTAATATGGAGCTTAATTTAATTCTATTAAAACCCACATCATTAAACCTCACAGAAGTGATAAACTGTGAGTTCATATCAATGTAATACATGTCAAACTATCAACTAGAACTAAAACTAGGATTTTAACCTTTTGTACATAACTGCAATTTTTTCAAACTCTTGATTTGACTCCTAAGGCTTCAACTTATCACTAGATGCATCTTCAGTAATTTTTGTTACATTAATTGAGTGTCAAACACCATCCAATTTCTCAATCCAATTTTTTCAACCACTGCTACTTCATTTGTATGCGTTGGTTTCTTCCCAATTATTGGATCTTTCTCACATATTGGATTAATATCATCTTAAACTGAACAGATAATTGACTTATGGGGCTCTGAACCTCCCCTGTTATTTGGCCCATTGGCACAAATCTATTTTGTCATGACTTCTTGACTCATGGGGTCCCAACCTCCTCTGTTATTTGACTCATGGTATTCCAACCTCCTCTGTTATTTGACTCATGGAATCTCAATCTCCTCTGTCATTTGACTCGTGGGATCCCAACCTCCTGTTATTTGACTCAAGGGATTCTGACCTCTGTTGTTTAACGCATGGAATCCCACAAATTCCTTTGTTACTAGTATTTGACTCATGGGTCTTAGTCAGTTCCACTACATATGCTCAAAAGCATGGATAGTTGTCATATTCTTCTGTAATGATGAACTACGTAATATACCATCTGAAAGGACGCCTGCACTACGTACTGATTCAGTGTCACTTCCATAACTGCCGTTAGATCTGACGTCCATTTGTGGAGGACTGCGCCATCTATTGTACTGACTATGACTGCTGCTGCTCTGGTAGTCTATGTTATACTAGAATAGACAGGAAACCACCATAAATACATGATATTGTACAGTCATACTCTACAGAGGCTAAAACAGCACCAAATATTAAATAAAAAGTCCAACATAGCATAGGAAAATTTAAATAGGCAAGGCAGAGTATTGTGGGATATGATATTATCATTAGATTTTGTCTTCATAGCTTTGAATGCAAAAGATCTGTAAAAGGATCAGGAGTGATATGTAGTAGTATGTAGTGCTCAGAGAAAGCATCGTTACAATAATTGACCACAAAATATCTTTTAACAATTTGTAAGCATAATTTGAATGCCATAAAATACATGAATATCATAACTTGACTTTCTTATAAGTTTGTTTCACTAGATTGTACTTTATCCTTTATATCATAGAATGAATCAAAAGCCACATAAAAGGGAGGATGCATGTAAATGGGTATAATTTGATGGCAAAAATATGACATGTGAAAATATCCCACACCACAAAACAAGCAACTGGCTATAATTTATCACCAAGATTTTGGAGCGGATATATTGTATCATCTGTAATCACAGGTGTGTGAAGTGATATAGCTCATAACTAAGGGAACAAACTAATAACTGTGATGTGACTCTTGGTAAGTGTGACACTCTGACCTATTTAGTAATACAGTACCTTCAGATACTGGAAATAATTCGGATATTGGGAATACACCCACTTCTTTACACTAAGAAAGGAAAATAAATTACACAAATTATATGCCTTTTAGGAACTTACATCCCCTAATATACTAATTTCAAACTTGACACAACTCAGTTCAGTATACTGTAAAGAAGAGCAATTCTCACTATGCTTTTAGACAGATGCACATCACCTTATACTAAATTGCCTGATTTTGCTAATTGCTAATTAGTACTATATGAACATGACAGAAATGAAGACTGTACCCAGGGCATGAAATAAAACAACCAAGTGACAATGATGTTACTTCAGAGAAAGCATATACTTACTTTAGTAGCACATATGAAACATGTGGTGAAAATGATGTTACTTCAGAGAAAGCATATACTTACTTTAGTAGCACATATGAAACATGTGGTGACAATGATGTTACTTCAGAGAAAGCATATACTTACTTTAGTAGCACATATGAAACATGTGGCGACAATGATGTTACTTCAGAGAAAGCATATACTTACTTTAGTAGCACATATGAAACATGCGGCGACAATGATGTTACTTCAGAGAAAGCATTACTTACTTTAGTAGCACATATGAAACATGTGGTGACAATGATGTTACTTCAGAGAAAGCATTACTTACTTTAGTAGCACATATGAAACATGTGGTGACAATGATGTTACTTCAGAGAAAGCATATACTTACTTTAGTAGCACATATGAAACATGTGGCGACAATGATGTTACTTCAGATAAAGTATATACTTACTTTAGTAGCACATATGAAACATGTGGCGACAATGATGTTACTTCAGAGAAAGCATATACTTACTTTAGTAGCACATATGAAACATGTGGCGACAATGATGTTACTTCAGAGAAAGCATTACTTACTTTAGTAGCACATATGAAACATGTGGCGACAATGATGTTAATTCAGAGAAAGCATTACTTACTTTAGTAGCACATATGAAACATGTGGAGACAATGATGTTACTTCAGAGAAAGCATTACTTACTTTAGTAGCACATATGAAACATGTGGCGACAATGATGTTACTTCAGAGAAAGCATATACTTACTTTAGTAGCACATATGAAACATGTGGTGACAATGATGTTAATTCAGAGAAAGCATATACTTACTTTAGTAGCACATATGAAACATGTGGCGACAATGATCTTACTTAAGAGAAAGCATATACTTACTTTAGTAGCACATATGAAACATGTGGCGACAATGATGTTAATTCAGAGAAAGCATTACTTACTTTAGTAGCACATATGAAACATGTGGCAACAATGATGTTACTTCAGATAAAGTATATACTTACTTTAGTAGTACATATGAAACATGTGGCGACAATGATGTTACTTCAGAGAAAGCATATACTTACTTTAGTAGTACATATGAAACATGTGGCGACAATGATGTTACTTCAGAGAAAGCATTACTTACTTTAGTAGCACATATGAAACATGTGGCAACAATGATGTAACTTAAGAGAAAGCATATGCTTACTTTAGTAGCACATATGAAACATGTGGCGACAATGATGTTACTTCAGAGAAAGCATATACTTACTTTAGTAGCACATATGAAACATGTGGTGAAAATGATGTTAATTCAGAGAAAGCATATACTTACTTTAGTAGCACAAATGAAACATGTGGTGACAATGATGTTACTTCAGAGAAAGCATTACTTACTTTAGTAGCACATATGAAACATGTGGCGACAATGATGTTACTTCAGAGAAAGCATATACTTACTTTAGTAGCACATATGAAACATGTGGCGACAATGATGTTACTTCAGAGAAAGCATTACTTACTTTAGTAGCACATATGAAACATGTGGCGACAATGATGTTAATTCAGAGAAAGCATATACTTACTTTAGTAGCACATATGAAACATGTGGCGACAATGATGTTACTTCAGAGAAAGCATATACTTACTTTAGTAGCACATATGAAACATGTGGCGACAATGATGTTACTTCAGAGAAAGCATTACTTACTTTAGTAGCACATATGAAACATGTGGCGACAATGATGTTACTTCAGAGAAAGCATTACTTACTTTAGTAGCACATATGAAACATGTGGCGACAATGATGTTACTTCAGAGAAAGCATATACTTACTTTAGTAGCACATATGAAACATGTGGTGAAAATGATGTTAATTCAGAGAAAGCATTACTTACTTTAGTAGCACATATGAAACATGTGGTGACAACTTTGGCAACAGCATTCATCAAATTCTTTGTCTCTTGGATAGCATTATCCACCTACATAAAAACAAGATATGTTCTTAAAACCATATATATGATACATCTGCATGACATACAACTTCTTCATAATAAAGTTGCATTATCCCATGATACTACTACTATTTCTGATATTGAAAAACAATCCTATTGTCTTATTGTCCTCGTGGCAATATATTTCTCTCTGGTCCTCCGGGCCATAAGGAAATACCATATTGTCCCTCGGAATAAAACCCAAATTGAATTCCTACCAGTACTTAACCTCTATCTATACTGATCAAGATATTCATGCTAATAAGAGAAAAAAACTGCTTGACATATAGACAACTGGAGTTCTCTATCAGACTGACATATAAAATGCAGACTTACACAGTTTTTCAAATTATATTTACTCTGAATCTATAAAATTTTGTTAAAAGAATGTTGCAAGGTATCCATGTATATTGTATAATGGACTTACTTTATTAAATGTTGCCTGTTTTCCGAATGTAGGTGACTTGATGGTAAACAACAACTGTTGGCCAAGTTGGGGTATCCTCTCCAGATAGTTGAGAAGTTCTGACCTAGCACTCCCCACTGGCACCTAACAATAGCCAACATAGTGTATTACAATGGGCATCACAAGAAATAATGATAAAAGGGCATCATAAGATATGACATGAGTCACAACTGGAGCCAGAATGATTTTAAAGGAGTTGCTCTTTAACTCTGTAATTCTCCCTTTGGATTACAACATTACTAAATATAATGTCAAAGCAAGGAAAGAGTGAAGTGAAACAAATGTGGTCGTGTTCTATATTTCAAACATATTATTGAAGATAATTTTAGTTATTCAGCTTATACAAGTATTCATTATAATTTCATTATACATTATAACATCTTACCCTTGATGAGAATTCTCGTACTGTTTTATATAACTTGTTCCCTTCATCAGCGAAATACTCTGCCTGCATGAATAAATCTTGTGTAGTTTTCAAAGGTCCTTCTCCTCTTGTGAAAAGATACATGGAAAATGCCATACTTGACATGTTTTTCGCCCGCTTCACAATATCATTATTAGGCTCCTCCCACTTTTCTGTTTCCGCATCCATTTCAGATGTGATAAGTTTCATCTCTAGACCCAGTTTGGCAATCTTGGCTTGTTCCTGTTAAGATATAAGGTGTCAGTACCATATAAGGTGTCAGTACCATACAAGGTGTCAGTACCATACAAAGTGTTAGTACCATATAAGGCGTCAGCACCATATAATGATAATTTTACAGGTTGAAAATCACCCTGCAATTTGTTCAAGAATCTCAAAATCTATAGAACCCTAAACTTGAATTATCTTTCCATCAATTAATTTCAAATATAAGTCATTCAGCATTGTACATTTTTTTCTCAATAATGTTGTAAATATCTATTTTATATCATTGTATGTTGGTGAAAGAAATTGAGAACCAATATTTTCGTTTTGGAAAAGAATATGTATAACAACATAAAATTTCATCAAAATAGAATGGTTTATACTACTAATGTCTAAGAAAGAATAACATCATCTGCTTTTTCATAGTTCCCAAGCATTGAAAGAAATGCAAAGAATGTACATGGTTCATTGAATGCTGTTCAACCCTATCACCATGGAAACTGATTAAAACATCTACCTCTGTCAATGACATGAACTGATTTATATTATATTTTACCCAACTACCAGAGCCCAGCATACCACACTGTACAGTATTATTATACCATACAATGCAAATTCCAACTAGCAACCACTACTCCACATATTTTAACAAGTTGGACGTTTCTATTACCAATATCAATGTCTAGAAGTAGCATGCATGTATGGCAATATTTAGAGATCAATAATATGATAAAAAGGCACTTTTTAATAAGCATTGGTGGCAAAATGATGAATCTAAGATAATGAGCAGTTTCAGAGGTTTTGGACAGTGCCGTTTTAACATCATCATAATTCAAATACAAATAGTTTTATTCACACACTTTCTGATCTAAGCAATAGATGGGGTTACTTTACCTCCGAATCCAGTCTGATTGGTCGCATAGTTTTGGCCATAGCACCGTGTTTCTAAGAAATAACGAAAATGAAGCAACATTCAGCACTGATTTCACAAAAGATGTCACCCTAGTCTTAATATCAGAGAAATCTGTTGGATTCAGTAATACTGTGAACAAAACATCTAGGATTGCTTCATTAGATAAAAATAGGAGGAGGATGGAGATGCTTGATATATAAGCTTATTAAAATGGTAGATTTGTTAATGTTTATATGTCAGATTACTGACACAAGATGGGAGGGAAGTGGGGAGGGGGTGTTGACACAATGGTCATTTTTAATGACTGACAAAGGCAGATTTTGGATGTTCACAAATCAGACATCTCTGATAAAAGATTAGGAGAGATATAAAGGAAGCAACAATTGAGCACAATTACATCATAGGTGACTACTGCACATGTAACAATAAACTGTTATTAGCCATATATACATATATTTTGGAGAAAAATTAACTTGGTTCAAAATTACAAAACATTTATTGCATATTTATTGCATAAACAGTCACGACTTCCAATTCAAAAACAGTGTCAGAATGATTCAAACAAGATTTTAACAATCTGAAAAAGCACTATTATCATGCTAAGTGAAGTAGGTACTTTCCCATGATGCAATTGTGACTCTAACTCGGAAGGCAATCTAATAACCACTGTGGCAATATTTCTGGCCTCCCTAATGCCTTGGTCACATATGATACGATTTTCACTACGGCACCCGGACGATTGAGTATTTTGTTCAAAATTGAATACAATATTGAACAAAATACTCAATCGGCCGGGCGCCGGCCGATGAATCGGAGCAAATGTGACCAAGGCATCAGCTAGTTGATACCTTGTGACCAGGAGCTAAGACATCCTGTGAACACAGGGGCAGACATCATCAACTATGAAGGAATAAAGTGGATGATGTCTGGACTGCTGTGTTGGAGGATGGGGCTTACAAAGCAATATACAATAAAATACACATACATGTATAATACTAATAGAAGCAAAATGATGAAGCAAATGTATGATTATAAGCAACAGCTGAGCATTCTCTGAGCAATTAAAGCAAAAGCATTGGAATGCCATAAATAAAATATATTTTCAAGGTGAGAAGGGGAACTGAACCTCATTTGAGGGCAAAATATATCAGGATTAGATATTGAAGGAAAATGCTTAATAAGGCCTTCGTTTAGGGTTGTATATTATGTTGCAGATCTAGTTATTCCCTTCAAGCATGAATGGTTTAGATATCAGGTATCCAGTAATTAGTAGTATATTATTGAAGCATGTTATATAAGAGTTGCGCATTTCTAGAAATGATTGTGGATTTAGTTGTTAAGATCAAGTGTAAAAGCATTTGGTATCTCTCGTATTATTTGAACTTTGAATTAAATTATATTTTGGTATCAGGTAAAACATGATAGTAGATTTTCAAGGGAAATGACAGATGTGCTTATTGTATGATGAAAGGCACATCAATTCCATGAAACAGGTTAATTAAATATTAGAATCATTGCAATCATCATTAGAATACTCATTAAAATCATCTATCTTATCTATTTGTTCAAATTTAATTATTATTTAGCAGGGAAAGCCATTTACTCTACATTTGTAACTACATGTATAACCTTGAAGAACCACAATTAGAAAACAGCAGCTCCATCGACAAGAAAATCTAGACAAATTCCAGCACAATTTAACATTTAATATCTACTGTTAAAAGCCTTGTGTTGGTGAGGTTTCCACAGATTCAAAGTTTGGTAACCATTTTGAATATCCAAGGGCACAAATGTAAGACAATATAGGATAGATGTGGTCTACTTTAAAATACCATTGATTTTGATTTTCTAGACAGATGGTCCATGGGGCATTCACTATATGTCTAATGAAGTTTCTTCAATAAAATAATTGACAATGGTAATAAAGTGTTCTTTAAAATCTCATGAAGGATTAAATAAGATTATTAGATATTGTTTAATGTTATGTGAATGTTAATGGAATAAATAAATCAAAGCAAATTATAAAACAAAACAAAATGAATTACAAAATAACAGAATAACAAAATTGTAGTAATTAAACATAATTGTAATTAGGCAAAATGATTAAATTGTAATTCTAATGCGAACATGTGAGCATTGATGTTAGATCACTTAAAATTGTCAGTTTTAAGATGTTATTTCAAAATATTAAGTTTACCTAAAAATTACAAGGTAAAACAGATGTGGAGGTTATTAATATTATGATTAGCCCACTGACAAAAAATAAATAAATAAACACATAAGAATATGCATTTAGTATAGTATTGTTTACTACTAAAAAGGAGAATACATTGTAAAATTTGTAAGCCCTTTCTTTCTGAATAAGTATATCTGTTCAAAACATGAAAATAAACAATAGAATGAAAAAATAAAATGGAAAAGCCAAGCTTAGGAAGGTATGCATAATGTTTACAGTAAAGCCTCTGCACATTGAACACTTTCACCTTAATGGCACACATCCATAAATGTCCCTTCACATCAACCAATATCAACCCTTTCATTGTACATTAAGACATCATAATTTCTAATGTTAAATGATTTTCAATAACTGTTACACTAATTAAGGCCAAGAGGATGCATCCATAAATGAAAAACATCTGTAATTTTTTCTAGGCCTACTTCATGTCTATCACTGTTAATTTGGAAATATAAGAAATTGTTTTAACACAAATGAAATGAGCTTAAACATGTTCTCCAAAACATATAGAATTACATCATATATACATGAAATATATCATATTATGTATATCATTTGATGAAAGTTTATAGTTTGCCAAAGATGAGACAAGGGATGGTAATGTGATCAAAATGAACTGTTCAATATCACAGGCTTCACTGTATAACACACGCTAGAAAAAAAACAAAAAATAAACAACCAGCTAATACCTTAGTGGGGTCTCTAAAACTCTACATGAAAATAAAACAAGTATTTTTTAATATTCTACTGATGTCAACAAAACACAACACAGATCTATAATAAAGTAAGTGCTGTAAGAGGGGCATGTGTAAATATTTTAGTAGGTAATGCTGTAAATAGGCCTAATATTGATTTGTGTCATACAACGTCAATATCTGTTAGTTTTTCATTTTATTCAGAATTAATAGGCATTGAGAAATTATTAAATGAATGAATGGAATGTAAACGAACAACAACAAAAATGAGAAACAACACATAATAATTATGGCACTATGAGAAAGTAATGATATGCATTGTATGGGTCAATGTGTGTAAACGGAGCATCTCATGAAATCATATAGGCTCTAATAAGTATCAATTCAATATAATCTATTTCTGTATATATTTCAGGATTTGTTGTCTATTAAACTCAATTAAAATGACACTAATGTCGTGATCACACATATTACAGAAATACAACAAATTCACTACATATACAAGTCAATAATAGTTCATAGCAAGTGATGGCCAAGAATTTCACAGATCTATTACAGTCAACTGCACATGCCAATGACAATGTAAGGGAATGGATGTCCCTAAAGTTGAGGTAAATCTTGACAGTGCTTGTGAAGTGGACTATAAATAACAAAAATACTCTGATTCATATTCAATATAACGAAAAATAGTATTCGCAAATCAGGACATATACTGCACTGGAATATGAACACAAACATAGTATAAACATGAAGGGGAGATCTCAATAATATATGTCTCAGGTAAAAGATATAAAGTTGGATAATGATTTTGTGTTGAAATATTGAGATTCCCCCTGAAATCAATAAATTTATTTAAAATAATTTTTATATAACATCAAATCATCAAATTAATCAATAAATACATTTTAATATAATTATAAAATGTTGACATTTTAACAAAACCAATAACATTGGAATCACAAGAACTAAATCTAATCTTAAGTTTACATACAGTGTAACTAAATAAACTCAACACCAAAACTAGAAAAAAACAGCAACCTCACGGAGTAGCAAATCCCACCGAACAAAACATGTTTTGATAAATAGCGGCCATATAAAATTTGAGCTAAATCCATCCACTGGTATTTGAATTATCAAGATTATGTTTTTATAAAACATGGTTGTCATTTTGAAATTCAGCTGTCATCTTTAGATTTCTTCTTTAGCAGAGCTCCTATGTCCCAAGGCATCAGCATATACAATTTAATCCAAATCTGTCAACTGGTACTTGATTTATCAAGGATTACATGTTTAATGAAAAATGGCGGAGATTTCGATAAATAGCAGCCACCTTGAAAATTTCTTCTGAAGCAGAGCTCCTTTATCTCTAGGCATCAGTATATAAAATTTGAAGCAAATCTGTCCAATGGTATTTGAGTAATCAAAGATTACCTTTATGAAAAATGGCAGCCATTTGAAATTCAGCTGACGCCTTTGAAATTTCTTCTGAAGCAGATCTCCTTTTCCCCTAAACATCAGCATATAAAATTGGAACCAAATCCATCCACTGGTATTTGTGTTATCAATGATTACTTTTTTTTACGAAAAATGGTGGCCATTTTGAAATTTAGTGGCCATCTTGAAAATGTCTTCTTCAGCAGAATTTCTTTGTCTCTAGGCATCAGCATATAGAATTTGAACCAGAGCCATCAACTGGTATTTGAGTTATCAAAGGTTATGTTCTTTTATGAAAAATGGCAGCCATTTTCAAATTCAGCTGCCATCTTGAAAATCCCTTCTTGAGCTGAGCTCCTATATATGTCCCTAAGCATCAGCATGTAAAATTTGAACCAAATCCATTCAATGATATTTGAGTTATCAAAGATAACGTTTTTTTTATGAAAAATGGCCACCATTTTGAAATATGGCGGCCATCTCGAAAATGTCTTCTCGAGCAAGGCTTCTTTGAACCAAGGTAACAGCCTATAAAATTTGAACCAAATCCATCCACTAGTATTTGAGTTATCAAAGATTATATTTTTTCCAAAAAATGTCCGCCATTTTGAATTTAGCGGCCATATTGAAAATTCCTTCTCGAGCAGAGGTCCTACACCCATAAGGCATTTGAATGAATTCTGTAAACTGGTATTTGAGTTATTGCCCGAACACAAGAACTGACGTCATTTGTTGTTGCTGCATTTGTTTCTTCATTCATTGTCTTCTTTCTTTGTCTTGATTTGATTGTGATGTTAGTTATCTTTCTTCAGGGTCCACAGACTTGAGACTGCACACGGACGGCTTTTCTATATCCCCCTCGAACTCCATTCGGTGGGATAATTATAGTTTTTATCTTTTACACATCATATTCTGTACAATTAAACACAAGACATTATATCGAAATAATTCTGAAGATTGAAAATGTACCTTTTCCTGATTCCATGAATGTCTCCAATTCAATGTGTATATTCCCATCATTTATCCAAATACTTTCCATTTGATACACATATTTTTTGTTTTCTATGCAAACATTTCCCAATTTATTAGAGCAGCATTTTATTCAACCAGAAAACAAACAAAATTACATTTTGGCCAAGTTATATTCATCGCTTCAAAACATGTTGATTTTTGGTTGAGTAAAACAAAAGCTCACTTTCTACCTTGATAAATATGACTTACCCCTGGGCGCGGTAAGGACATATACACTTGTTTGTCCATCTTTCCAGCACATACATCATTGACATCTTTTACTAGGACAGATAAGTCATTGATCTGAGTTGCCCAAGCTTCAGCGTAAACTTCAAAATTCTCTTTGGCAATTTTGCTTGCAGGATTTGAACTAAGGGCCTGGCAAGACCATATGACCTACAAAGCAGAATAAGCAAACCATACTTATTTTATCATTGGCCTTTTGTATTGAGAAACATAAATCCTAAGTTGAGTTTAATACACTAGGATGAGTTTTGCTCAGGTTGGACCTAGCTGATCAAATGTCACATTTTACCCTTGCTAAATGCTGATACAATTTCCCTTGTTTCTTGTCATTAGAAAAATGATAAAATTTGATCTTCTGGCAAATTAACCACTCGGATTAAATAGCACTTACACAGTATTGGAAACCTAAGTTATTTCCAAAATGATTGTATCATGAATGGAATCACTAACTCCTGTTTATATTAAGTAGATTATGTAAGATAATGTATATATAAGAGGTATTGACATAATATGTTTTATGTTCATTACTTACTTGGTGTGTAAGTGCCTTCAAAGAGCCTTCTATGTGGTCTGTGGTAACTATAAGAGGGTCCGATGTTGCAACATGGCGTAAAAGTTTACATGCCTACAATGTGATAAATTCATCAACAAATGTGCATGATAATGCAAATTATCAAAATTCAAGTCTCTAATTTTGGAAAAAACTTAAATGATGGAATCTTATTGTTTTTCAGGCGTTGAAAGTTTTTATATTTTGCTTTCTGTCACTCATTCAAACATAGGTTATTTGTAATAAGTTCGAATGGTTCGACCAGTTGCCATTGTGATCCAACACTTGTCAGTTTGATTTAATTAAGATCAGTTTAAATAGATGAGACCTTTTGGGGGTGAGATGGTCATTGAGTACACTTACTTCTTGTAATTGTTCTGCATGTTCTTCAAATCTTACAGATATCTCATTGACATGTGTCTCCTGGCCATTCATTCCTGCTAACCGTAATGACGTTAATAACTCGTGGTCTTCATTTTGTTTAAATATATCTGAGGCCTGCTCCATTGCTAGTTGTTGTAACTAGAATATAATAAAAATGTGCAATTCTGCAAAAATGAGCAATTTCGATGTTTATGTTTCAGTCCATATAAGATACAAAGGTTGTTTTGTTTTTTATAGTAAGGGCTTGGTAACCTTCTTACTTTTTGCAGTAATTTGCTTCTAAGTTCAAGAATATTGTAAAATGAGAATTTTTTTGGAATTTCCTTTTTTTATCTCATTTTGAAATAAATAAACTTGGGACAAGTTACATGAAAAATAGCTAAATAAATTAACAATAAAAATTATTAATTAATTGAAGGAGTTACCTGTTTCTTTAATAGTTTGGAAATATCTAATGTTCTTAAAATTGCAGTCTCCAGTTCTTGTGTGGGTGAGGTGCTGGCTTTATTATTCTGCAACAAAGAAAAGTTAACATTTTTGCCAATTCAACAAAGAAGGGATGCTTTTTTGTAATCTTAACAAAAATGCAACTCTATTGTTAATTGTAAAAATGCAACTCTATTGTTAATTGTAAAAATGCAACTCTATTGTTAATTGTAAAAATGCAACTCTATTGTTTATTGTACAAAAATAGACAGCTCTTTATTGACAATATTTTCAAAGAAAGGACAATGTCAAGGTCAATTAAAATAAAGATTGGACAACTTACATAAAAGACTACTCATTGTCAATTTAACAAAGAAAGGACAATTCTTTTGTCATTACTCAACAAAGAATATGCGACATATGCAAATTTTGGTACAAGTACTACCTAACATAACTAACAATTCCTTATTTTTTTTAGAAAAACAATGACTTGTACAATCGCATCATACTGTAAGTTACTGTGGTTCAAGAAATTTCTCCTGAATACTTACTAAGCTAAGTCCTATTCGTATAAGAATTGTTAATTCTACTCTTAGTTTTTCACATAATTGTAATATTCTCTCTCTAGCCTGGTGTGGAGTGTATGCGGAATCTGTGAAGTCTTGGGTTGTTTCTATGACAATATCTAAGGCACTCTGTAGCCGGTCATGTGTTGAATTGGTTACCATGGTAACTCTTGTTGTTTGTACTACATCCTATAATATAGCTTTCATGAATAGATTGTTCCTCATGGTAATTAATGGTAAAAATAAAAAGGAAAATAAATATATTTTATCTCAACTACATTTATCTCATTTTAGTATTAATATATTTAGCTGATTGAAACAACTACTGCCATCTATTTATCCACCTATGTAGCAACTTATCTATCATATGATACCTATCATCTTAAAAGCGAACAAAATAAAAATGTAAAAATAGCTTACATCGAATTCTTTGAGCGCCCTACTGGCCAGAGGTAGATGTTGGGCTAGGCCTATTCCAGAGTCACTATTTACAGTGGGAGTGGGGGACATATCACCATTGGCAACTGCTTTATCTTGCACAATTTGTTGTACCAGGTCTAGGGCTCGATGCATCTGTTGGAACACAGACTGCCTGTTACGCCCCGCTGCTTCACAATCCGGATGACGTAAACAACACTAGAAGTACATGATATATGATTTATTCTTAACAGTGTTGAACATGAAGTCTCATCTCTTAATAATATGTTTCTAGGACAAGTTTACTCAAAGCAGACAGCAGGGAAAGGTCAATTATGTGAGTATACTCAATGGAAGACTCATAGGAGTTAATAAAACCTTGGAGTAAATAAATGCCCTGGACTAAATCTTCAGTATACATTTCAGCATGTTTATGTTGAAACAAATAGAATATACATGTATGTAATAATGAGTATTTGATTGTAAAAGACATAAAAGAAAATGTTTCATGAGGTTTATGGGACAAATTAATGAGGTCCAGGTTTCTTTGACATTCAATAATAGGTCTAGTTGTTTGTGATCATATTAGTGTGGTTTTAATCTAGATTAATGAAACAAAGAGTGAACAGTATTGTCCCACTTAGTAATTCACCAATGACAATATCTGATCACCCAGTTTAAAATTTAAATGGCAGCCTTGTATGCATGTCAAAACAGCAAGGTCTTATCTTAACTATATATTGAACTAATTGTGAGTCTTCTAAAATTGCCTCTAATTTCTAAATTGTTAATGATGGGTCTATGTGTTTGTGAATATATGACTTTGAAATTGCTGAAAGTGGATCAATGTATATACATGTGACTATAAATTAGAAGTTGCTAGAAGTGGGTGACTATAACTCAGAAATCATAAAAGTAGGTCTTGATAATAGGAAGTAGGTCTTTGTATGACTAATCCTAAAAGTTAATTATAGTGGGTCTTTGTTGATATGGCTATACTATTTTTTTAATAGTGGGTGACTATAACTTATTGTTTACATAGTAGGTCTAGGTAGATATATTTTTGAAAATACTATACCTTAGAAGTTGTTAATAGCATCATTGTTGATTTTTCTAATACTGCTCGCGCTGCCCCCATTTGAGCTCTGTGTTTATCACTTTTCAAATCCTACAAAAGCAAATACTTGTACATGGTAAAAATTCTGATTTGTGAACATTTTTATTGTTATCCTATGCTATAAACAGATTGATTTGCTATACAGGTTACTAAGCAATGTTTGTTTTTAAAGATTTCTACAAATTAATTTTATGTAATATAAAGCATGCAACAGAGTATGTGAATCGATTAACAAAACAACAACATGGTGACGTAATTCATTTTAATGTAACACTCTGCTAAGAAATATCTAAAATTGAGCTATGTGGCTTCTTCATGGACAAAACATGTGGATGAAAACAATATGAAGACACAGAGTGACTCTGTTACTTGAAACATCCTGCTATATTTCAAGCATCCCAAAATACATTTAGTCTAATAGTACTGTTTACTGAGATCTTTAACGGGATGGTGAGGTTTGAGATACTGGCAAACTGACAACAGTATTTACACAAAGGGTATGAGAAAACTGTACTTTCATAACATACATTTTGTCTGTCACCAGTGAGATGAGCCAAGTCAACCATGTCAGTTCCAAATGTGCTGAATGCTTTAACAAACCCTGAGAAACTATCGACATGTTCCACCTTGTTCAGACTGACTAGTACCTACAAATAAAAAACATGTCAATATATATATAAGGGGCATCTCAAAGCTATGTCTGTACATAAAAGTTGAAACAATTTGCTACAGTTTGATAACACTGTCAGTTCCTTGCCCAATTAGATGAAATTGAATATTCAATCAAAATATCAATAGTGAGGTCTTATGACAATATAATATCTAAACATAAGGTTTAGGAAGTATTTTACGTCTCATAAATGTGATTTCAGCTAGATACCCCATAGAGCCTGTGTTATAAAAATCATGAATGTGAATACTTGAAAAGGGCAATATGAAAATTGGTCCACTGATTCATTTTCTATCTAAGTTTCAGGAAACCTTTTGTCTGTTTGCAATGAATCACCTTGATACCAGCAGTTTCTTCATATTTCCCTATCAGGTGACTAACTCAGGTCGAACAAAAGGACGATTCTCGGTTTGGAGAACAGTCTTCTGGGCTAATAATTTTTTTATGAAAAATATAGAAATATTACCCAAATTAACTATGAATATTCAAAAGAGGACATTTAAATCTACAAGATGTAAAAATAAAAAAATTGTCTGAAGCAGGGATAACACTCAATTAGACCAATTCAATAAAATACAAGTCTCGATTTGGGGAAAGAAGTTCATCAGTGTACTGCGCTAATATTTTTTTGCGAAAAATCTAGAAATATTACCCAAATTAAATTATATCTATTCAAAAGAGGACATTCAAATCTATATTATGTAAAAAAAATCAAATTTATCCGAAGCAGGGATAATGCTCATTTAGATTGATGAACTTCGTTCTCCAAACCGAGAATCGTCCTTTACAAAAGGTTACCTTAAACTTGAACAAAACAAAAACATGCAGAGATTGATACAATCCTTGAAATTGTAAAACCTGTGTCAGCAGGATTATCACTCTTTATTCAAATCAAATTCTTAATTCAATAAAAACAAAACAAATGATTAGACATATACGTGGCTGGAAGATTATTTATCTTCTTCACCTTTAAAAGATTTAAACAAAACAAAACATTAAATGGTTCATTGTAATAACTGGTAATCCTTGATTAAAGTGATTCAATGGACCTTAACAAAGAACAAATAATGAGATGTTCAAACAGATGCAGATATTAACAGGGATGTCATTTCAGGTAATCCTGTTTTCCAACAAATCTTTGAATCATACTCAAACTTGAAAGACATCGTTATGTTGTCCTACATTGATCCTCCTTCCATATTTTGCTCACATAATTGTGGATATCCCAAGATATGAGATTTACTTACCTTATCTTTGGCTTTCAGTAAGTCCTTTACAACCACCCTGTCTGCCAATATGAGCACCTTTGTAATTGCGGATAGTAACTGTCTAGCAGCCCGTACCATACCAGTCTTATCTGAGAGAGATTTAGATGGGTCTTCCTGTTTTAGTAGATCTGTCAACTGACATATTGCTGTACCTACAAAATACAAATATACAATTGATTATCTTTGAGTTGATATTTTAAATGATATACTTGTATGATGAAAAACACAAATAATCAACTGTAAAATACAAATAATACAAGAACACAAATGTGTACAAAATGTCCCCACCAATGGGTGATCCCATGAAATGGTTATCCTGAAAATGAGTAGACAAGACTTTACCAACACAATTTTAATTGATCCGTCACACAGTTAACTAGAAAACATGTAAACAAGACTTTACAGACAAGATTTTAGGATGGAAAATCCAAAATGGCTGCCTTGACATTTACCCAGAATGTCAAAAAACTAATCTGTTCCTAGATTTTCATAATAAGAATCATCCCTGAAAATATGACATTGATCTACCAAATGGTTCACCTGAAAACGCGTAGACAAGACTTTACAGACAAGATTTTAGGACAGAAAATCCAAAATGGCTGCCATGACATTTACACAGAATGCCAAAAAACTAATCAGATGTAGATTTTCACACTAAGAATCATCCCTGAAAATTTGAAATTGATCTACCAAACGGTTCACCTAAAAACGCGTAGACAAGACTTTACAGGCAAGATTTTAAGACTGAAAATCCAAAATGGCTGCCTTGACATTTATCCAGAATGCCAAAAAACTAATCAGATCTAGATTTTCATACTAAGAATCATCCCTAAAAATTTGAAATTGATCTACAGAACGGTTCATCTGGAAATGCATAGACAAGACTTTACAGACAAGATTTTAGGACAGAAAATCCAAAATGGCTGCCTTGACATTTGCCCAGAATGCCAAAAAACTAATCAGTTCTACATTTTCATACTAAGAATCATCCCTGAAAATTTGAAATTGATCTACCAAACGGTTCACCTGAAAATGCGTAGACAAGACTTTACAGACAAGATTTTAGGACGGAAAATCCAAAATGGCTGCCTTGACATTTACCCAGAATGCCAAAAAACAAATCAGATCTAGATTGTTATACTAAGAATCATCCCTGAAAATTTGAAATTGATCCACCAAAAGGTTCACCTGAAAACACGTAGACAAGACTTCACAGACAAGATTTTAGGACGGAAAAATCCAAAATGGCGGACAATAAAAAAGTGATTATGTGTTTTTGCTGATTTCTTCTTACAAAATTATCACATATTACTACTGTTAACAATAACATAGGCTTTTACAACAAAGTAGATCTGAAATTATTTATAAAGCTACTAAATAGTTAAAGTATGAAAACTCAAAAACACCATTCAATATGATACAAAGTATTATCGTGCGCTAACTTTTCTTAAGACATTCAAAATGGCTGACATGACTGAGCTAACAGGTCCAAAACCTAATCAGATCTAGAATGAAGTGAGCTGAACAAGATGTTAAAGTTTTAAAAGCAACTGTGAAGCCGTTTTTCTTAAAGTTTGCAGACAAGGATTTTAGCATTTGACTTCAAAATGGCCGACAGGAAGTAGGTATCGAGTTAAAAATTTTTCATCCACATCTGTATGCACTCATAAGTTATCCCTGAAAATTTGAAGGTGATATCTGTAGCGGTTTTGGAGAAAACTCCCGGACGTACGGACAGACGGACGTACGGACGTACGGACGGACAGACGGACACGCCTAGGCCGACAATATGGCCCCACACTATGTGGTGGGGACATAACAAAACTGATTATCTATGAGTTGATGTGTCAACTAATATATAGTTGCAAAACACAAATAAATGACTGATTATCTTAGATATGTCAATCAGTGTATAGCCGCAAAACACAAATGAACAACTGATTATCTTGGACTTGATATGCGCACTGATATATATAGCTGCAAAACACAAATGAACAACTGATTATCTTGGAGATTATGTGCACAGTGATATATAGTTGCAAAACACAAATGAACAACTGATTATCTTGGACTTGATATGCGCACTGATATATATAGCTGCAAAACACAAATAAACAACTGTTTATCTTGGACTTGATATGCGCACTGATATATATAGCTGCAAAACACAAATAAACAACTGTTTATCTTGGACTTGATATGCACACTGATATATAGCTGCAAAACACAAATGAACAACTGATTATCTTGGAGTTTATGTGCACAGTGATATATAGTTCCAAACAAAATGAACAACTGATTATCTTGGACTTGATATGCACACTGATATATAGCTGCAAAACACAAATGAACAACTGATTATCTTGGAGATTATGTGCACAGTGATATATAGTTCCAAACAAAATGAACAACTGATTATCTTGGACTTGATATGCACACTGATATATAGTTGCAAAACACAAATGAACAACTGATTATCTTGGACTTGATATGCACACTGATATATAGCTGCAAAACACAAATGAACAACTGATTATCTTGGACTTGATATGCGCACTGATATATATAGCTGCAAAACACAAATAAACAACTGTTTATCTTGGACTTGATATGCACACTGATATATAGCTGCAAAACACAAATGAACAACTGATTATCTTGGAGTTTATGTGCACAGTGATATATAGTTGCAAAACACAAATGAACAACTGATTATCTTGGAGTTTATGTGCACAGTGATATATAGTTGCAAAACACAAATGAACAACTGTTTATCTTGGACTTGATATGCACACTGATATATAGCTGCAAAACACAAATGAACAACTGATTATCTTGGAGTTTATGTGCACACAGTGATATATAGTTGCAAAACACAAATAAACAACTGTTTATCTTGGACTTGATATGCACACTGATATATAGTTGCAAAACACAAATAAACAACTGCTGTTTATCTTGGACTTGATATGCACACTGATATATAGCTGCAAAACACAAATAAATAACTGTTAATCTTGGACTTGATATGCGCACTGATATATAGTTGCAAAACACAAATGAACAACTGTTTATCTTGGACTTGATATGCACAGTGATATATAGTTGCAAAACACAAATAAATAACTGTTAATCTTGGACTTGATATGCGCACTGATATATAGTTGCAAAACACAAATGAACAACTGTTAATCTTGGACTTGATATGCGCACTGATATATAGTTGCAAAACACAAATAAATAACTGTTAATCTTGGACTTGATATGCACAGTGATATAAACATGTAGCTGCAAAACCCGCATATCCAACTTTTATCTTCGAGTTGACATTTCTATAGCTGTGAAACACACAAGCTGATTATCGAACTATTATAATGATATCCCAAACCAGGTGATCAATTTGTTTTATAACCATGTAAATACACCCTAAAATGATGAACATAGATGAGAGCACAAAGGTCTCCTACAAATTCTACTCAATTTTTGCATTTAAAAAATAAATTCAAGTTTTCTGCTTCAAAGATACATGGTAGACATAAATGATATTTGTATCTGCATAAAATGAGCTTTCCAACGAAAATATTCATTATTTGTTTAAATACTTCATTAATTATCATGGAAATTTGATGAGTTTTTAATATTCTACACATTGGGCTTTCTCAGACTCATGCTTTGTATTGTAAAACTTCTAATACGTAAATATATAACATAAAATAAAATAGGTTTGAGATGACCGTGACATTTATGTGTGCACTAATGATTCTAATACTATTTGTATTGTGCTCCTGTTTTTCTGTTGTTTTGTTTATGTTTGCTCCAGATCTTCCAGAAGTTATTTGGGTATAAGCAGAGATTGTAACTGGTAATAATGAATGTAGATATTCACATTTATCATTTCTGTCCACCTGCTATACAATGTATATTATGAATGGTTTTTAAGATTTTGTAGTTGGACTATTAAAGGAGGTATTGCTTCAAAATTCATGAATATTCATTTCATCATTTCATTTTTCACTCTTACTTTTATATAGTTGTATGATTTGAATAACTAGAATAAGGAGTGATTACTAATATAATTTAGGAGATGATTTGAGGATGTGTATCAAGTGTATCTAATCATGAAAGTAATATAAATGCCAGAATAGGGATTGAACAGCTAACATACATTTATTTTTGATTTCTCTGAAAAGTAGAAAGTACATTTACTTATAGTCTCTGCGGGAAAATGAGAACATGGGAAATGTTTTGAAAATATACATAGAGGTTTCCGAAATCTTCCAGAAGAGTTTTACAATAACTGGTAAATATTTGTATATATTGTAACTAGCATTCTTAATCCAGTAACATGATTTTCTCATGTGTAATGTATTAGATATATACATACATGTATTATTATATATTACATATATGTATCTAATACTTTGAAGACTCAAAAATAAAGCATTCATATTTTGTAACAAATTTCTTTATTAATCAATTGAGTACATGTAGTTGCAACCACAATAATATTAGAATTTGCTTTACTTGATCTGTTAACCATCAAACAATATACAATCACTGACCTCTGGAGAGGTTGAAGGGAATCAAAAAAAGTTAACTTAGCAGTTTGCTCGTCTGAAGAAAATATATACTGGTACTGTATATAATAAGTTTGTTGTAACTAAAAGGCAAGAACATGTTTAAAACAAGGATTTAAAGTACTAAGGTACTAACAATAAATATTACCTATTCAGATATGCCAAAACAAATAAATGTATTAAAATACTGTGTTGTATATAGAACTTCTCATATATTATAACAGTAGATATCATATACAATAGGTCAAAATTTGTTCTTAATTCTACCCATAACATAATTTAATGATTTTAAATAATCATTTTAGGGTCGACCATCTTCCTCTGCCTGTCGTTTACAATCCTCATACTCATCAAAGCATTGACCTCGTAATGCTATTCTTAATTTTAAATTAAGATAGGAACTAGGATAATTAGTACTGGAACATTTGTAACGAAAACAATTTTTGCATTTGCAATTGTTGCACTCATAATCCTGGGAGCATTCTGTACATTCACATTCTATACACTGCTTTGCTGATCTTACGGGGTTGTCAATCAAATGCCTGCAGGAATCATCAGTTGCCACAGTTGTAGAAACGGATTCTACATTAGTTTTAGAACTACAAAATTTAGCAGCACATTGGTCATACTTTTTTAGACATTTTGCAAGTTCTTTATTACGTTCCTCCTCTGGTAGTGATGGGTCTCCAAGACATGAGTCTTTTGATTTCAGTATGACTTTCTTGTAACATTTCTTACAGGCTTTCAATGACTTGTTGTCTCGCGATATTGCTGGAACTGGAGTACCAAAACAATTTTTGCATTTGCAATTGTTACATTCATAATCCAGGGAGCATTCTGTACATTCACATTCTGTACACTGCTTTGTTGAATCGACAGGACAAAATTTAGCAGCACATTTGTCATACTTTTTTAGACATTCTGCAAGTTCATTACACTCTTTCTCTGGTGGTGTTGGGTCTGCTAGACACGATGCATTTGATTTTAGTATGACTTTCTTACATTTCTTGTAACATTTCTTACAGGTTTTCAATGACTTGATGTCCCGCAATATCACACACTCAATCAAGATCATAAAAACTAGAGCTGTTATTACTTTGTAGGTCATCATCCAGATATTCTAAAATAAAATATGTGCTATTTGTATATTTTGGAAATACATCGATAAGATGAGCTGTTTTTATGCATCATAATATGTCAATAAGTATCGTTAAATGATTGTAATAAAGTAATACTATTATGAATAAAATTACTACTTACACTTTTAATATGTATATTGGTTGCAAAGACAATTAATAACTGGCCTTTCTACTGGTTGTTCTCTTATAAATGTAGTGGATTAAATTCAAATATTGACAAGGGGATAGCCACATTTAAGAGAATATATTACTTGCGTCTTACCATAATATCCTCTTTGATAAATAACAAAGACTGGTTTATAAGATATGTCAATAAACTCAGTTGAGAAATACATCATGATATATCAGATATATCAGTATGCTGCAAAGCCATAACAAGTCCTTGTTGTAAGAATGCAGACTTTCAGGAAGGTAAAGGGAGTATGTTTCTATAGCCTTTTTACTTTAAGAACCCTACATGAGATCAGGGTTAACAGATACCCTTAAAACATAAAAATAGTAGCTAGGTGAAAATATATCATTTAAAATTCAGGAATATGTATCATTTTCAGGAACATTTTATCACATACTACAGGGTGGTCCAAAAAAAATTGGAACATTTGTTAATTGAACGCAAAACCTTTTTTTTTCTTCTAAAATGTACCAAACTTTTACTGAGCATAGTTCAGTCACTTATCTATCTGATGTAAAGTTTATAGGTGAAAACCTCAAAGTAAATGCATTAAACTAGTCGATATTTGATATGACCCCTCTTCTCCTGACTTACAAGTTGAAGCCTGGGGCTCAGATTTGTAAATATTCAATTAGTTTGCTGTTCGTTTGTTTTGTCCAAGCCATCTCAATTAAAAATTTCAGCTTGATCAAACTTCCTATTTGTTTGCCTTGGAAGATCAAATCTAGTAACATATTTAACATTTTTTTACCCAAATTCATGAGTATCAAGCATATTTTGATAGCTATTGTTGGGTGTATTACTGATTCAATATTCTCCAGAAATAGGCCAGGGCAGTCTGATTTGACTGGTAAATGAAGCCCCCTCCCCTTAATTGTTCTGATATGAATGATATCCATTGGATATATCAATATGTCTATCAATATCATAGAGAGAACACAAATGGTATATTATATATATATTATACACTGTATGTGTGCTTAGCATTGGTTTTTAATGTGAATAACTGGCCATGGTCAGTTTTGCCTTTACTGAAAAGTGGGAACAATTCTTTTGTCACTTGAGTAGCTGTGAGGGTTATGCAATCGCTCACCTCTGACATGTTCCTCTTTTCCTACGCTTAAATGAAAATGATCATTTTGGGTATTGTTTAAGTTTAAGTTAACACAATATTTTTCTGGCAAACCCCAGATGTAAATACTCTTTGTCAACTGAATATGATTTTATAAAATATTTATAGCAATTAACATGTGCATTAAAGCTTTGAAATAAATAATACTTGAAAAAGTAGCCGCGGAATTGACAAGTGTATATTTAAGAAAAGGGGGTCCTATCAAACATTGACTAGTTTAATGCATTAACTTTGTGGTTTTCACCTATAAAGTTTACATCAGATAAATAAGTGATTGAACTATGCTCAGTAAAAGTTTGGTACATTTTAGAAGAAAAATAAAGATTTTGCTTTCAATTAACAAATGTTCCAATTTTTTTTGGACCACCCTGTATGTTACTGAGGATACTACATATGGTATCACAGATGATTCCACTATATAAACTGGTTCAAACTACCAAGCTAATACATTAGATATAACTTATGAAGGACATTGATACAAAATAATGGTACTTGTATTTTGGATGTGCTTCAACATTTGAAATAACAACCAAATTTTAAACATTAGTTGATCATAAACCTTTGACTCTCAACATTTTTTATTAGTAGTCTATGTATCATATTTCTTGTCTCATGACATGGCTACAAATACATCCTGAGATATATCGGGTGTCTCAAAAAATGTACCTAAAAGTATATCAACAGCACATATAAACCAATCAATATTTTCAGACATTTTTTACAAGGTCATGTAGCCAAAAATAGTATTCTCCCCAATACACTATTTTTATTTCAGTCTTGCCTTTTTGATGATTTAACCCTTTACCTTATACACCACATATTCAATGTAACCTCATATTTCGATGACAACCTGTATCCTTACTGCTACATTGTTCATCACATTTGAAAATAATTCTGGTGGAATGTTTTTGGATTTCTCTTTGGATGTTGCCCTTAAGTTATTCTAGGTCTTTTTGCTTGAATCACAGAGAAAGATGTTTGAGGATAACGATGGCAGAACGCAGAGAATCAGGTCAATTATCGGCAAATGATTCAGGAGTTACATTCCAGAGTTACACAGGCTAGCCTTGAGACAAAACAATATCCACATGAAAACACAGTGGTCTCAAATTGATTGAGCCCCTCTACACACAACAAATGCTACACTAGAATCATAACCAATACAGTTTCTTGAACGTCTGATCTCTCTGTATAAGGGGGCCATAAGACATTGCAAGGGCCTCCCTACTCACCAGATTTGACGGCCCATACTTCTTTTCTTTGGGGCTTTTTGAAGGACCATTTATGCTAAACCCAAGCTAAGAGACCTAGACCAACTTAAGACCAGCATCCAAACAGAAATCAAAAATTTCCACCAGAAATATCAAATGTGATGAACAATGTAGTAGTAAGGATGCAGATTGTCATTGAAATATGAGGTTACATTGATTATGTGATGTAAAAGGTAAAGAGCTTACGTATCAAAAAGGCAAAACTGAATTAAAAACTGTGTCACTATGTAAAATCCTATGATTAATACTTGTGATAACATCTTATATTGATGTTTAATTTGTTGTTTAATCCAATATCACAGAAAGTATCATTCAATATTATAACATCTGATCCGGACTCAAATATCATTAGAGAATGATACCCGATTAAACCAAAATATATTCCAGTTTAACCTGATATAATTTAAGTCAGGATCAGATTAAACAGTATTATACGCATATCATTTTCTATTATAACAGGTTTCAAAGTGGTATAATACAAATTATACATAACATTTTTGTATAATACAAATTAAACTGGAATATACCGAGACCAAACAGATGATACTGTATTATACGGTTCAGAAATTAATGGCACTTTGTTTTCATAACGTGAGACCTTAATTAAACAAGCTAACGTAAATATTTACATAAGGTAATTCTAGAAGTTTTTTGAAACTCATGTTTGACCATTTGTCTCAGACTGAAATCCGATAATGTTTTTTGGCAATCGCACCCCCCCCCCCCGCCCCCCCGACTGAAAGTTGGCTACGCCCCTGTACATGGCTAATAGGGGCACTATTACGCTACGTGCAGAGTCTAGTTATATACTACGAGAAGAAACTCTCTTTTAAGAAGTGAAGTCGAACGAATGCAAAGGGTAGGGCACTATAGAAGGGGATCATACAAAAGCACGATCTATTTCACAACGCCTTTAATTTTTGCTCTTCAACTGTTGCCCTTTGTGCATTTAAAAAATAAAATATCTTCTGATCTGATTTGTTCAACCTTTCTTTTCGCTCAGTTCTGCAATATTACGTCCACATGTTATTTAGGCTTACATGCATGTCATTTGCGAAATAGCTGTAAGACATTATGAGAATGAATATGGAAAATTTCCACGTAATATGTTGTTAACATGATTATATACACATATCTGCATAACAATCGGAGACAGAAGTCAAAATATTGTCCAATAAAGAATCTAACATTTAGTGATAACAAAAGGATTAATTGCTTCATAGTTTTCTTTGTCTTAGTAAATTGTTTTCTTAACTGCGGAAGTCTACCAACATCACCTAGATTACATAAGAGATCATCTAACAGTCTAAAATTGCTTTTAATCGCAAGTTAAAGTATTCCGACCAAAAGTTGTATACCTGTATTTTGGGGGGGGGGGCGATGTTACATCACATAACTACAACGTTCATATAGAAATATACAATAAGCATGTCGTATAAAAGCTAAAATGATAAATACTCATTTCAAAGTCATTCTGTTCATGGAAGCGTCAAGTTATGAAAAACAATGCTAAACACTAAAATAAACAAATCGACTTGATTACTTTTGAAAACTTCTTGAGAGGTGATGGACAAATGTATTTTTCTAACTCATTAGAACGTCTGTCTGATTGAAATACTATTTTTTAAATACAAACATAAATGAATAAATCTTGGTCAGAAGTTTGAACATTGTCCAACGAAATAATAAGAATCTACATTTAACATTTAATGATTACAAAAGGATTAATTGCTATATAGTCTTTGTCTTAGTCTTTGTTTTTCTAACGGTGGAAGTGTACTAACATCACCTTGATTACAGAAGATCTAACAGTCTAAAATTGCTTTTAATTCCCGGGTTTTAATTACATTGTATGAATAGAGTTTTTTGCCTCTCTTTTCGTTTTTAAACCGGTCTCTGTTTCCGTATTTAACAATTTATTGTGATAAATTATTTCAGTTAGTGTCGAAATCAAAACGATTTTCTACATTATAGTCCCCTCCTCTTGCACTGATTAAATATTAAAATAAGCCAGTCTGATTGTGAATTTACAAATCCTATAAAAGTAGCTTCAAACCGCCTTTTAATCAGAGAAAACAATAAGTTAATTCGTCTGATTGCGAAAAAAACGAATCAATCTAATTATCCAGTTATCTGATCTCCATGCTTTTTGATTCGTGCATTATCTACAAGCCAATCGGGCAAGGGTGAAATTATTTTATTTGAAAACAGAAATGAATATTATAACACCTCTAGCATAACTGTTCGGGAGAAATTCATACAATAAGGTACACAACTGATGAGGGATCGCACGCAATGCACGCACCCCTCTCCTCCTCCTCCGTGTTTGCCCACACACGACCATATTTGATAATTTTTCAAAGGAAAAAGCATTTCCCCGGGAATATAGGTGTAGCGGTTGCCAGAAGTCGCACAGCTTGGGAGTCAGGGTATCCTGATCCATGCCTCATCGCCTGATTGGTCTGATATTTAGAGGGGGCGCAAAAATGATTAGGGGGGGGGGGGTAAACGTTGAAGTTGCCAAAATATCCGTGGGCGTATCCAGGGAGGGGGTGGGTTGTGATGGGT